TAATTTGGGGACTAAGAGACGAGTAGTAGGCTGTAAATGACAAAATGAAGTGTTAGTTTACACTTTGAAGTGTGGATCTTATAACTTTGGATCATCACGCTAAAGCTTTTAGAAAGAAATGGGTCACTAGACAAAAACTGAAAAACTACTGCTCTAGACAGCAAGTATTATTTATGTATAACTGTCAGGCTCAGCTGCACAGATGTTGGTTTGGTGCTCCACTGTGAGCTTTGCATCACTGGGTAACTTCCATCAGGGTAGGGGTCATATTCTGACTGTAATTTCTCTTATTGATGCAAATAAGGGAGGAACATGTGATTCCCTGGTAGTTTGTTTTAATGAAAGGCTGGATGAGGAGGATGTGCTATCAATGCTCTGTGATCTTTACTGCCATGTGTAAAGGATAGTCTAACAACTCCTGACATGTACTCCTCAGGTACAGCCCAGTTAGTTACGCCACGGGCAGACTGGAGCGGCAAAGGCATCAAGAGGCAGCAGGGACAGTTCAGGCCCCCTTATCAATTATGTACGGTACCCCAGCCTACTTCTGCGCTCACACACACCTGCTCACTCACCCACACAGCAATTACTCTTTTTCTGAGCTCTGTGGTATCCTGGCAACAGTTGCCAGGACGGCAAGTGCAACCACCACACCTTGCTCTGTCCTGCAGGCCTGTGTGAGTGGAGAAACGGGGAGTGGCGGAGAAAAGCGCAAGGACACGCACAAATGTCAAAAACGAAAGTGATTACGGCTCAAAGTTGAGGATAATGGCAGTGCGAGGGCAGCATGGTGGACTGACCCTGGTGAGTCAGACACATGCACAGAGAAGTGAGAAGTAGCTCCATGAGGCTTAATGAAAGGGTAATAAACCTGTCCCAGTCTGAAACTCCTGTTTCTCTACAGAGGCACTGGAGTAGAAACATTGGCCTACATCCGCCCACCACCTCTCTCTCATGCCTAGTGCACATTTTCTCCCTCATGCAAGCTGAAGACATCAAAACAGGGTAGAGAAAAAAAGCTCACTTTCTCATTTATATTGCTTCTAGGTCACCCATTTCTCTCTGTTTCTCTGACAAGACTGTTGATGGGGTTTTATGGCAAAGAGAGAAAGTGAAAGGAGCTGCAGGGAGTTATAAGCCAGCATTGATTCAAATTAACTGGCATGATAAGGAAGTGCTGAGAGGTTTCAAGGTCAGTGTATACAACAGATCTGACAGAGGCTGCAGTATTGATTATCTCAGAGAGGATTTAACAGTTTCATACAGCAGACTAGCTTTGCTTTACTGATTTATGCAATTAGATACTTTCAAGTGCAGGCTGTGGTGCAGACAGCTGCAGGGTCTGTGTTAATATATAGGTTTGTATGTCATCCCAGTATAGCTTACGTGAGTCCGACTATAGTTTACGTGACCAGCGTTGTAATCCCCGCAAAGCCTGGAAAGAACCGTGGGGATGTTTGAAACAGCTTCAAACGAGCTATATTAGAGGATGTGGCGCTCTCTAGTGGCGTCGTGCAGCGAGGAGTCCATGTCCCTATAAGGGAAAAAAAACTGCTGCCTCTCTGCACTGTGTACAAGTGAGCAGTGGTCACATGGATGTCATGGAAAAGATAATATACTTGAACATCTTGGTTTTCAGAGGAGGTAGCAGAGGTCAAACGTGAGTTAGTCTGTGTTGTGTCTGCACAGTGACAGGAACGGAAAAGTTTAGAAATGTTTGCTTTCTTCCAGATGTCAGACTGGGTTTATAAATAAAGCTGTGATTCACTTATTCTTCAGAATGATAGCATATTATTTTTTATTGATGTTTGACATTGAGTATACATTTGAATTAATTAGGAGGGTAGTAAAAGTTTGAGCATTAGGTTATGAATAAAGACAAAAATGATTTGAGGTTTTTAAAATATGTTTTGATAGTAAATTATATGTTTTGTATAATTACTAAAATCTCCAGACATGGATGCTTTCAGTGGCTTTTGGTCACTCTTAGTCATCTTAATATTGTATATAGTTAATATTTTGATTTTATTTGAGTTGAAAATTTCCTGTTTGACTTTACATTCAATTGAAATAGTTTTATAAATTGATTTTTACCTGTCTTTCACATGATATTGTTATTTGTCTAATAACATATATAGCACTTTAGTCAACTCTGGTTGCTTTAAATAAACTTGATTTGATTGATTTGATTTGGGTGTGAGAAACAATACAACCGTTATCACATACAGTACAAGCAACAAATCCGCAGAGCCAAACAATTAGGATATTCTTTTTTTCCCCCTCCTTCTGTCTTCAACTCTACTCACTTTATGTCTATTTAAAGCCTCCTGTGTTGCATTGCTTCCCCTTTGTCTCTGGTCTGTAGATCCACTAGTGATGCAGCACTTCTAACTGGGTCAGCCCGTCCTATCCTCGCATCCCTCCCACTTTCCCCGTCTCTCCAAGCCACCCCTCCTCCTCTTTTCTCTCTGTATATGCATTCATCCCTATAGAGTTTTTCTTTCATGCAGCTCATGTGCTTACCATGTGCTGCAGCTCTCTCTCATCCTGCTCTCTTCCTCCCCCTCATTCATTTACTCTGATGCACGCTGTCATGATACCTCAGCCTGTTGCAAAATTGCTCCCACCTTCTCACACACACACACACACACACACACACACAGTCAGTTGCACTCGTTTCTTACCATCTTCTCCACATAAACGTGGCACTTGTGGCTGAACCGTGTGGATGGTAATGGTGTTAGTAGGTTTGTATGTGCAGGCAGGGCGCATGGCGTGGCGAAGGCAGCTCTAATGTACTTGTGAGCTGCTGTTGATGATTGGCTGAGACTGTCAGACCCTGTGATGTGGAGGATATATACGACCGAGCGGTGTCCAATCAAAGACTGTTACCATGCAACCACGCATACGCTCTATATGTGCATCCATATAGAGCGTATAGACAGACACATTACTGTAACGTAAGCCATTGATCACAACACTGAAATAAGATTTATTTTTCTCCCGAGGGAGACGTATTGCACTGTTACCTCACGTAAGTATTACACATGATCCCATTATATATTACGCATTAATCACAGCTTAAAGGACGCAATATCCAGCAAAAGAGAATAAATCCACTGTATCACAGGGAAAGAACAAGTAGTTACAGAGAAAATCTTTGCAATGCAGTGGGATTTCTTAACAGTCAGAAACAGTGGCCATGAGATGAAAGAAAAATCTGGTAATAAGATGCAGAAATCAAGTAATAAGGAAGGGGAAATAAAATACGGTGTAAAAGAGGGATAATGGTAAAGTAACTACATGTATGTCAGTGTAGATTCTCAGTCATCCAGCTCATGGTAATCCTTCAGTGAAAACAACTGGAGTTCTCCTTTTGGCTCTTGATGTTTCTCCTCCCACCCATGGATGACGGATCTGTTTGGGTAAATTATTTAAAGAAAGTCAAAATCCTTTGATTGAGGCCTTTTATATTTGAATATTTTCATGTTTCTTTACCCCTCTATAACAGTAAGCTGAATATCTTAGGTTTGTATTTAAAACAAGATATCTGGGTGTGTCTTATTGGGCTTTAGGTAACATTAGTCAACGTTTGTCACCATTTTGTGACATCATATAGACCAAACAACTAATTGATTAATCGATTTGAGTAATTATTGTCATCCATGGATGAGAGGTGAAACTTCTTCATCATCCAAAAAGAGAAGTCCCCTTGCTTTTTACTGAAAGTTTTAGGACGAAACATAGACAGTTATGGAGTTTATTAAGGTAATAAATTGATTTTTGACTTTGGCTGCTTCTTAGTATTGCAAGTTGTTGTTGTGACAAAGGAAACCTTACAATTAATTTATGATTTCCGTTCATTTTTCCTATAGATATATATATGTAATAGGTATTGTTTTTTTTGTAAATTAGGGTAGTCTTTATTGTTGTTCATCAAAATGTCAGAGTCAGATGTGCTTCCACACACAGATATATAATCAGTGTAGTGCAGTACTATGGTGTGAAATATATCCTTATTAACTGTTAATATAAGAGACCAAATGGATTTTTAATAAACAAAACATGTACATCTGTGCAGATTCATGGTCATCCAGATAATAGTTATTCTAAGAGCTATGTATGAGAGGTGAAACATTTTTAAGAACCAAAACGACTATTGCAGTTGCTTTTTACCAAAGCTCCAAGAACAAAACACATATTCAGTTTAAGTTAATAAACAGATTTTTGACTTTGGTCTGCCACCCATTATGACAAGTTCATTAGAATTTTGTTCATAGATTTCAAAAGTGTATATCTAGTATGAAATGCTGTTCTTCTAAATGTTAAAAAAAAATAAAAATTCTATGTGCTTCCAAAACACACAGGTACATTATCAGTACAGTGCAGCACTATGGTGTAAAATATACCCTCATTAACGTTTAGTGTAAAAAAGACGTGGAATAATGATCGCAGTACAATGTGGTCAGCTGCTGCTCCTCAGTATTATTCACCCACATACAGCCGTAAGCCCCGCCTCTCGCCGTTTGACTGACAGCTCTGATCCCGAGACAGCAGGGTGGCCAGTCACGCTCTCGCCATGCAAATGAGCCGCGCTCGGGCCGGGCGGGTGCCCATGTGGACCAGCACCATGCCTTGTTGTTCTGAGCGCTGATTGGCTGCCTGGTGTCTGATCGGTCTTCATGCGCTGCGGGTCAACTGCGGGAACGAAAACACGGAGAGGCGCGGAGACCGACGGGACTTCCCGTTAACGGATCCCCACGGAGACACACGACTACACGGGTCGCCGCAATGCTGCCAGAGCTCTTAAAGGAAGGTTTTTAAAACTTTCATGTCGATTTTGTGTCCGGAAAGGGGTCGCGAAGGCCGGCAGCGCGGAGGAGCAAGGCGCGCTACGGTCACCGGGTTTTGCGGGAGGCCGTAGTAACAGGGCGGGGCGGCGGCGCTGGAGGGGCGGGCCTTAACGAGAACACGACTCGCCTTGTTGTGTGTATTCCCGTGCTCGCATCGCCATCTTGTTGCAATCCTATTTTTTACGTATGCGAGGATCTACTTTCCGTTCGGCCGGATTAAAAATTGCCCGTCTGCTCTCAGCAGAAACACAGGGGACGAAAGGCTCGGGCGTGCGGGTGTGAACCGTGCACACGGGCGGCGCTTTCCACCGGGACACTACCTTTACCCCTCGGTCTTTTTCCTCCTTCCGTCCCGGGCCACCGGGTCGCCTGTCGTGAGGGTTTACGCGCAATGAGCATCGATACACTTCTGGAGGCGGCCAGATATCTGGAATGGCAAGCCCAGCAGCAGCAGATCAAACGAGGTAAGCTAGCAGCAGGCGGGACCACCGCGCTGACCGTACATGACACCACATATCAGGGAGTCCTGAACTGCCTTTTGGGGAACCGAGTCCCGTTACTACCAACGGCGGGGCTTTGCATTTTCAACCGACCCGCCTATGAGGGAACGGAAGCGTATGTGGCTTTCGTCTTGTTCCTGCCAAAGAAAGAGTGTCAGTGCAAACTAGCATCAACCCTCCAGTGTGTAGTTATTGCACACATTGTCTTCCTTTAATGCGGAAAGTTGTTTTTGTGAACTACTTTGCGCGCTCTCGGTGTGTGTGTGTGTGTGTGTGTGTGTGTGTCACAGTTTCAACACGAGTGACTCACTGTACGTGCGCGCGTGTGTGTGTGTGCGCGCGAGGGAGACAGCAGAGGAGATCCTGTCAGTAACCGTGGTCCATTTATATATTATATAAATATTATTTAGCACGAACATGTGAGTGTGCAGGCTAAATATGCAGCATGTGCATTTAATCCTCAGATATATTTCTAGAAATTTGTATAATCGGTGATAAAATGCTGATATTTTAAGCAAAATTTCCCATATATATGTGGAAAAAAAGGGCTCCTTTGAATGGGTTTGCCCCAGTTTTTTTGTTCGTCGAGCCCCGGTAGGGCGGTGGCGGAGCAGAGACTGCTGCTCTTTACATAATACCCTGACATTGCTCAGCTATCTTATGACACACACCGGGGCGGGCCCTCACACGATCACCCCGTCGGTTCTGAGCGTCTGAGCGGGGAACTGACTAATATCAGTCCGCGCTTCTGCCTTGTATTGGAAACCGATAAGTTGTCAATCAACATAATGATCAGAGACTAGGTGAAGGGAGACGAGGGGGGGCTGCTTTTTGGGTTTATGCTCTCTGATGACGTGTCAGACAAACCAACCCCCCCGCATACTTACCCTACCGCGTGCTAGGATCCGCCCACAACGACCACGTGCACGCTGCCCCCCCTTCCTCCCTTCTCCCTTGGATACACACCTACGCAAACACACACACGCGCGCGCACTCAAACACGCACACACACACAGTCGTCCCCGCCCTTCCCATTCAGTGTACTGACAGTGGCGGGTCAGAAAGAGAGGGGGGTAAGTAGGGCAACTCACCCCCAGCCCAGCCTCTCAATGCAGAAGTTATGTAATTTACGTTTGCGTGCGCTTGACTATCTGGAGCATGGAGTGTCTGTGTGTGTGTGTGTGTGTGTGTGTGTGGACTGTACTACTGGAGATAAACTGTTTGGGATACACCGTGGTGTCAGCTGACTTTAGTTTTACTTCTTCTACCTTGATCCTTCTTAGAATTTACCATTTATTATATTAATGTATTTCTTATAAGAGCAAAAAATTATTATTTTTTAAAACTATCAATTTTTTTTCATAGGTGCAAGTTTCAAACTAAGCAATATTTTATTCACAATGTTATAAATTTTCAATAATAGATTGATTGGTTTGACTAAAGAAAGTTAAAATTCTCAGATCCTAGCGTCCTAAATGTGACTATTTTGTGTTTTTTTTAAACTTCAGAATAACAGCAAACTAAGTATCTTTGGGTTTTTGACAAAACAAGACGTTTGATGATGTCACCTTGGAAACATTGATTGACATATAGACGAACGAGTTGATTGATAGTTGGAGTAAATTGTGTCATCAAAAGAACCTCAAATCCTTTTGATTCCAGCCTCTTACATTTGAATATTCTCTGGTTTCTTGACTCCTCTACACCAATAAACTGAATATCTTTGGATTGTGAACAAAACAAAACATCTGCAGATGTCATCTTAGATTTTTGGAAACATCGCTTGACAGTTTTCACCATTTTGTTTACCTGAAGCCAAGTGTAATGCTCACAAGAGCAGAGAGTTATGTCTGTCTTTGATGGCTCAACAGGGCTCAGAATAAATGTGAACATTTGAATGATCGAGTCATAACACTGTAACTCAGGTAGCACTGTTAATAGTTTCTTATTGAGCTCCTAAAAAGAATATATGCTTCCAAAAGTGCACAGAAATAGTTCTGTTCTGCATAACATCATGACGGCAGCACCTAACTGTGCAGGCCTTCTCTGGGGTGAACTTTTGCCCTGTGTGAAAGGAAATTGCGTCATCAGGGGTTTGCAGTCTCATGTAGAGAAGAAACCAACGTGTTACTTAACACGCAGCCAGGCATCTTGGCATGAGCTGTTTCTATTTTGTTAGAGATGGCTGGGCTGTGTGTTGGCGTTGTGCAGGTTTGAGGAATCCCTGGGATCTTCTTTTTCTAATGTTGCTGTTTCTATGGTAACTGAGGGCTTTCCAGAAGTACTTTTAGTCTGCCTGTGTGCAATAACTACTCACTCATATCATTAAGTGTGTGCTTGTGCTTGTGTTCGTGCCTCTGCATGCTGTTTTTTTTGTCTTAATTTATTCTTTGGCTCGTGTTTTTGCCTTTGTTTGGATCACAACAGCGCTTCATTTATATGTTGTCATGGTGCCAGCTCTGGTTGACCCAGCTGAGTGGCTCCTTCACAACAGTCCGCCGCTGTTGGTCAGATGGCCTGACGTAGCCTGAGGCTAGAAGCATGCTCAGTGCTGGGACGGTCCAATCACAGGGCAGACGGAGGGGTGTTCTCTCCAGTCTGGAAGCAGATGCAGACACAATTTCGGTGGTTATTTCCCCCTCCCTACTGTCTGATTGCCTGGTGACATCATTTTTTTGTATGTTTGTTTGCATGAAGTGTTGAGACCCTAACTAAACAAACAATTATGACAAAGTGTTTTGTAGCACTACATTTAAGGGCCAGAAGGGAACTTGGGTTATTGCTTGATGTTGGCTGATGCTTTACAAGTGATTTATGATTTCCAGACTAGATGTGGAACATTTACCGCACTCAATACAGATATGTTTGTATCTGTGCTGCAGTGTTGTCACACACTTTATGTTTGTACAAATACAGCAGTTTTAACTGCACAAATGATCAATCATGGGTGATTCTTAAATCAGAACTCCATCTGCTGTTTGTCTCCATACATTTTCGAACATGTCCTTCTATACTCTTTGGTGTTACCATTATTTTGCTCATTTCTTTATCTATGTTCTTTTTCCGCCCCCTGCAGAGGAAGAGCAGTGTAAAGAGAAGGAGCTCATCAACAGGGAGGCGGAGTCAAGACGTGCAGAACTCGTGACCTCGCCAACTCAGCCAGCCGTCAGAGCCAACCATATCACTTGGGGCGATGACGCTCACCGCAAACAGCCGCATCACCCTCCTGCCCCTCCGCCCCCATCTCTCCCACCGCCTCAAGTCCCCATTGCTGTCATCCCAATGGTCCCAGTTGTCACTGCGACTCCCTCGGTCCCGCCCCTTCCACTTCCAACGCCGATTGCAGCGGCGGCAACATCGCTCAACAGCTCCCCGCCAGCCAAGAACGCTTCCTCCCCACCACAGCCACAGCAGCAGCAGCCGGCATCTCGTCACCTGTTGTGCGCCTCCCAGATAAAAGTAGAAACTAGTCAGCAGCTGGTTGGTGTAAAGCCCAGCCAATCACAGCCTCAGGTTCAGATTCAGTACCCAACCTCCATCAGCACTAATGGTTCTGGCTCCCAACATGCACTGGTTCCCCATCAAGCTCCACCCACGTCTCAGCCCCGGCCTAATGGAGTGACGATTGAGGACATGAGGGGGATGGAAGGGAAGAGGAGACCAGGAGGGTCAGTTTGTGTGTGTGTGTGTGTGTTAAAGTTGGTACGGGGGCGAGGACTGGTTGTATTTTGACTGTTTGTATTTTTTTTTGTCAGGGCGGGGACCAGAGAGGTGCATAATAAACTGGAGAAAAACAGGTCAGTCTTAATAAAACAAAAGTCTGCCTTGTTGCTGTCTGTCTTAAATGTTCACACATTAAGGAAAGTAGCCCTGTTTTTGTTGTTGTTTTCTTTCACACATGTACATTTTTGCATTTGTGAAGTTTTTACACTGGTTTCATGACCTCAAAGGTCATTGCATATCCTAAACTAATAGAGAACCATAAAATCCTTCTCAAACTTGTAAAACTGATTTAAAACTTGGTTTCTCAAGCAGCTACGACTAAACAATAAATATTCACAAATGACAACTGTATCAAAAGTGTAACTCTCATTCCCGACTCCTCAGACGAGCGCACCTCAAAGAGTGTTTTGAAACACTGAAGAAGAATGTTCCTAATGTGGATGAGAAGAAAACCTCCAACCTCAGCGTTCTCCGCAGCGCTCTACGTTACATACAGGTAAGGAGGGGTTTGTTTTCTCGCTGTTCCCAGCAAACTCTTACTTTCTGGTGTGGTCCACAATATTTTGGGTTCTTGTTTTTCATGTTATTGTTTTAATCTTTCTCTGGTCCTGAATTGATTGGTTGAGCTCAGGAAACAATGCAGGCTTTTGTCAAGTGTAATTGATTCACAGTGCCTGTTTTGTTAGCCGTTAAACTGTTTTGTGTTGGTTAGTCTCTTGTGACAGTGATATGGCGTCTGCCGGATAATAGTGAACCAGCCTATTAGAAGGTAGTGAATAACAATGTTCTTCTGTGTCTGTGCAGTGTAATGACATTTTTTTTATAACACACTTGGAGCCTGCCTTTCTTGAGAACATTAGTCTGCTTTTTAAATATTTCAGTGACTTTCTTGACCAGTGAAAATGATTTTTAGCACTATCCTGTCATCCTGTAGTGCCCGCAGCATGAAATAGAGAAGGGACTAGGGTTTTTCCTGGCTCTGAATGGGCCTTTTGTGGGGTGACTATGCAATATGGTAGTCACATTCAGTAAAGGCAGTGAGTCTGTGTTACTGTATTTGTACAGAAATCTATGCATTTTCCTGTTGGCAGACTGCAGATCGATTTTAAAGGGGTAAACCACCACCTACTGTTCCACTCACTGCATAGAGGTGCAGGAGGAGGAGGAGACTAAAGACATATTTATTTGAGTTCTCTATGGTTCTTATGGGAGTTAAACCAATGCAGAAGCTGCAGAGATGCACTTGGGTGGAGTCCTTCAACAGGCCAGCATTAAGCCACATTGCCCCCCAATGATGACACTATGCCTAGGTCAAGTGCTGATTGGTTGAAAGGTTGGCTCGCACCGGAAACCTTTTAGTATGATGAACAGTGTGTGTGTGTGTGTGTTTTTAAGCACTGCCTGTGGCTGCTGATGCAACAGGACTCAGTTTCACTTCACTACACTCCACTTGGACTTCTGTGTTTTCTGTGACAAAGTAGTAGGACTAAAAACACAGGGCTCCAGACTAACTTTTCCACTTGTCGCACTGGTGCAACCAACATTGTCAGTTAGTTGCACCTCCCACCTGGTCACAGGTTAACCACATCACTAGCTGAACATTTGCTTATTGATAGACACCACAGCACCAACGTTCCCTGAACACCTTACATTGCAGGCTGGGGTAGATGCTGTTTGGTGGCTGTGGTGAGCTCAGATAGTTGTGTGAACAAAAATTAGTTTGAAAAGAGTGAAATGAAGTGTCTTAAAGTCAGATGTGTTCATGATGAAACCGAGTAATTTTATCTACATTTACGTAAATGTGCTACACCTTTTATGAGCAGAGCACATTTTAAAATGTAAAGACCGCAGTCGATTGTTTTCGTATCGTGGTTAGAAGCTAAAATCATGATTGTGATTAATGATTATTTAATTTTGCATTAGCCATTGTAATTGGCTCAACAGCTCAATATCTTTCTGCCTGCACCTGCACTGTGATCATCAGGTGTGTCTGAGCTGGACCTCTAACCCTCTGTTGGATGAGGAACGCACATCAGCTCAATAGCTCCGTTTACGCATCAGGCAGGAACAGACTATTAGAGCAATGGAGGAAATAAAAGTTACACTTTGCACCACCATGGCTAATGCAGTAACTAACGCCTGTGTTGGTTAAAGCCACAACAAAACAGCTAAATAATCATTATGCACTCACACAAATGTGACCACTTGAAATTTAACTTGCACACTCTCAAAAAAAGGTTGCATATGCGACCATGTTGGTCGCAGTCTGGAGCCCTGCAACAGTACAAACACCAAAAAGATTGCTGGAAGTGAAAAATGTAGTATTTTATAAGTTCAGGTTCTGTTTGTCAACAGTTTGATAAATTAAACACATTCAGAGAGGATTTGTATTGCGCTGATGATTCTCTTTTGGTGCAGGCTACAACCTCTTTAGGGAGGTATCAGAAATTCCTTTATGCAGGAAAAGCCCTGAGGACTGATTGTCCCAAGAACTGAAAAACATGAAACGATGAAAGAGGAACATTTTTGTCCAAAAAAGATTTTCTGCATATTGTAGTGGGCTGACGGAGCTGAGGGTTCAGTAGGGGAGGGGAATATATATATACCCTGAAGAGGTGAGTTTTCAGTCTGCAGTAGACGGGGTAGGATATCTGTACTTTGACAGAAATGACTGGTAGCCTGGAGCCAATGTCAGTGCAGTGGTTCCTTTTTATTGTGGAATAGAAGCTTCAAAATTTTGAGTTTAATGAAATGTGCAATGGAGAATCAGTGGAAGGAACTAAATTAGGCCGTGAGATGGAGGAACTTGTTCAAAACACGAACGGCTGCAAGATTACGGGCCAGACTCACGGGAGCAGAGCGCAGAGCGATTTGAGGCCGTCTTTGACAGGAGATGATGATGATTTTGTTATGAGGCAAAGCTGAGTTGCTGTGGAAGAAATCCAAACTGCACAGCTTACAATAAGTTTTCGTGTTTTAAAGTAATGTCGAGGACGGGTCATTTAATCCACTAAACTCAAAAAACATCCCAGCAGTGTATATACTGGTCGTAGCTACGACTGCTGAAACAGTCCACAATCGAAATTATCAAATATTCATAGTTAAGAGTGACAATGTGCTGCTTTTCTGATTGATTGACTTGAATTGATTCTGAAAATGATTTTGGATTGTGTATTTTTGTTGAAAGAAATTTGAAGGCATTTCTGTGGGAAGCAGAATAATTATTAGTAGACACAAAGCTGTGAGTAAGTAATTGTTGTGCACAGTGTTTCCTCAAGGCCACATTGATTTGCAGAGATTGGTTGGGTGATATGGTTAAAAGAAGTGTCACAATATTCATAGAATTTTTTTTTTTTTGAGATTACGAGATGGCTAATGTATGAGAAATCACATTTAAATGATTTAAACTATAATGTTAATAATGTTAGACAGAGTGAGTTGTTGTTAATCTGTAATTCTCCATGACCTGATTTTGGTACATTCTTCTTTGATCTATAATATAATCAGAGGGCTTTATTATAGATGAGTAACTGCATTTACATGCACACGAGTAGCCTGGTTGTGAGTCTTATCCTGTTTTTTGATCCTATTCAGGATATGGCATTTACATGGAGCATAAAAACCTGGTTTTTCATATCCAAGAAACCAGGATAAGGAGTTTACATGGCACAGTATCCTGGGTATATTAGAGTACTCAAAACCAGGATAAAGTCTCAGTTAAGCTGTGTAAATGTGCGACACCTCAGAAACGCGACCATAACCGAGATATTGGTACACATGTAAACACACCCGCCCCATCTTTTTTCTCCTCTCCTCATGTAAACCTGTAAACCTCAGTCTCTCTCCCCCTCCCTGAGCCATGTGACATCCGAGCACATGGCTAGCGCAAGCCCAATGACGTCACTACAGCTTCCCGCTCCGATGTGCTCTGCACCTCCAGATTGCAGAGGCAGAGAGAGTCGGCGACAGGTGCCGTTTACAGTATTGGAGTGGTACAGCAGCGTTTCCATGGTAATAAAGTGGACTGGGTTTGCAACAGTTATATCTGTGTTCCTTTGTCTTTCTCTGCCTTTTCTTTTGTTCATCACTGTACGTCTTGTCCTGTGTTGCCCTGCTGTCCCTCGCCTTTAGAGCACTTGGTAACCATGGCAACAGGCGGCAGGTGGCCAGGGCGCTGTAGTCGGTCCGTCCTCCATGTTTGTCTGCATGGGAGAGTGGGTATGACGTGTGTGATGCGAGACTAAACCAATCAAATTCTGATTATATTGATCTTTTTCTTAATGGTCACTGATGATGGTGCACCACTGGAAGCTTTCAGAGCTGAAACTGTCTCCCTTCACTCATCTACCTCTTCTTAATGTCAGACAACAGATGCATATGTGACCAAGGCAAAGACACCTGTCAGGGCAAATATCGTCACACTCGAGTCATTTTTACCTTTTTTTTCTCAGCGAGGACGTGTTGAAAGAGGAAGGATAAGGGAGCAATAGATGATGCAGGGGAAGAGGGTAAAAAGGGGGGAAGGGTGTTGAGGGAGTGATAGATGGGGGAGTAGGAGGAGAAGGAGTGTGGGATGGAATCGTAGAAGAGGAGGGGGTTGGGAGGGATGCAGGGCTCCTGACTGGCGAACCTCCAGTCACATCACTCCTTATATGTAATTGCCCCTGTGCTTCACCCAATTAGATGGCTCCTTATGTTTTCCACAAACTGCTGCTCAAGCAGCCAAATCCTTACAGATGATGTTGCCAGGGAAACGGCTATGGGTGGCAGCTGTTTCCTTGGTGATTTACTGCAGGACTAATGGTGTCTGGGTTTGTATGGGAAGACCTTGAAATGATGTTCATCGATGCGCATGCGCACTCGAGAAGGAGTTGTAGTTCCTCTGTGGGCAGCTTTAGCCAGAAAATCTTTGTGTTTCAAAGAATACCTGTGTCGTTGTGCTTGCATCGGAAGTGTTGTGCTGTGTCTTGAAGTCTTGTAGATGGAATTCATTCAGTAAATGTGCACACGAACAAAAAATCAAAGGCCAAAAGTTGACATTGATGCAAAACCACCAGATCAGATGTTCAGACTGTTAAGACATTATTTTGTAAATGTCAAATGCTGGAACTGATTTGCTGTAATTTCCAACCCTACCTTCCCTTCACCAATGACCTCTAAAAACTGCCCATACAATTATGGGAAAAGGCTGTAAGTGTGGAAACACATCGAGGGGAGGGTGTTGGATGAGCGGTGTTGAGGTGTTAAGTGATGGAAGAGTTCACCAGGTCTGGATTGATGGAGCTGTGAATTTGGACAGGAGCAGGGAGGAAAGTGGGCTCGCGTGTGAATCCATCACGTGTCTCGGAGAGTAAACAGCTTTGCTCATTGAAGTAAGTGTCCGGTAGTAGAATCCTGTGTCCCCATATGCTCATTTTCCATCTTCTGTCTTGTAATTCTGGCCTTATTTTCTCTCTTTTTTTATTGCACCAGTAGGGCAGGAAACTGTTGTCTGCCAAGGATTTTTTTTAGCATTCATGTTGACTCATCAGCAACTCAGCGTGATCTTTAGTTTGCAGTGTTGTAATGAAGTGAACCAGCTACTCTCAAAAAAACACAGCATTTTACTGGTTTCTGTTTACCCGTGTAATCCCTTGCCCCTTGTTGTCCACCTCTCCACCACCCACCCTTCTTTACCCACCCATTTTCCTCCTGTACCTCCCCTCTCCCTCCTCCCCTCTCACCCAGTCCTCCCTCGTAATCTGCATTAATGTCCTTAGCCTGCTGTACTGTTTGGTGTTCATGCATCAGCTGACCCACACAGAAACTGGGTCACAGAGACGGTGTGGTGAGGCTCGGAAAGCTCTGCTCTCTTTTTCTGTTCGTTCTGTTAAGTTTGCTTTCTTTTCGTGTTTCTCTCCCTCACTTAGTTTCATCAACAAACACACATGCAGCTTACTCCTCGGCTCATGACGGAGCATTCATTCAGGCTGTGGCAGTCACTAAGCCAGTGACATCAGAATTTGTGTGATAATGAGAAACTAGAGTGAATGGCAGCAATAGTACCCAGCAGGTGATTTCTGCCACTCTGACCCTGTTCTCCTGAAAAACAAGCCTGGTATCCAGGAAATGGGAGGAGTTTGAATAATTAGGTAACACCCACAGAAGTGGTGTGGACATGCTTGAATTTGCATGTAAGCCTTCCTGCTAGTGTTTGAAACCGGGATAGCATAAATACGATGTGATACTCAAGAGTGCAGAGTGAAAGAAAGATGGTTCTTTTTTTGTGTTGCAATACCTTTTTTTTTTGTTTGTTTTTAAATGAAGCTAATTCAAGCTTCATGGTGTCCACATAAGGTGTGTTCTGAAATGGTTGTCTGTTCATTATTAACAGGAGAAAAACAAGGAAGTTTGCCTTTTTATGACCTTCTGTTGCTTGACTGTTGGCTGTTGATAAAAACTTCACTCTTTATTTGTTTTATATTAAGGAGCGCTTTTTGAGTTTTTCCCTGTCCTTTAGTGTGTTTATAGCTTTTTTTCCGACAGGTTAAAGGTCTGCAAACATACAAAGTCCACACTAAAGGGAGTTCTTCTCTCCAGGCTTTACTTCTGTTTCTTATTTATGTCACCATGTAAAAGATTTGCATAACGGCTACCTAGCAGCTAATTAGCAGTCCACAATTATTTCCTAAGTAGAGCCAAACAGTAGGCAAGGAGGAGTCCTACAGCCATGGACTGTCGGAGAAAATACTGTTTGAAAATTAGAGCATGTTAACATATTTTAGTACACTTCAAAAATACAGTTATAAAACTGTAAATGTACTGATGAAATGATGCTGTGGCAGTCAACATTGTGCTTAATTTGCATTACAATGTGACCCATTGTAACAGATACTTCTTTTAAATTATTTGTCAGACAGCAGCTTTAGCTGAATGTAGGGTTTTATTTGAAAATTCACAGTGCATGAGTTTTCTCCAATTGGCCAGATTATCTACTGAAAGCTAGTTTTTCAAATGGACTAATAATCCTCATTTACTCTGCTGTGTTTCCCCTGGAAGACTCTGAAGCGTAAAGAGAAGGAGTATGAGCACGAGATGGAGCGTTTGGCCAGAGAGAAGATCGCTACGCAGCAGCGGCTGGCAGAGCTGAAGAACGAGCTGAGCCAGTGCATGGATGTCATGGAGATTGACAGAGTCCTCCGACAGACCATCCAGCCAGAGGACGACCAGGCGTCCACGTCCACCGCCTCAGGTAAAGGGATGGATGCAACATCTCGCAGGCAGACTTTGGGGTTATTCCATTTCAAATTACCAGAGGCTTTCTGCTCGACCAACTCTGATTTGCTTAAAACCTTTTTATCATCAACTATGAATATGTAAGGGAGGCACCGGAATCTTTCTGCGTGGAGTTTGCATGTTCTCCCCGTGCAGCGTGGGTTCTCTCCGGGTTCTCTGGCTTCCTCCCACACAGTCCAAAAACATGTTGAGGTTAATTGGTGATTCTAAATTGTCCGTAGGTGTGAATGTGAGTGTGCTTGGTTGTCTGTCTCTAAGTGTAGCCCTGTGATGGACTGGCGACCTGTCCAGGGTGTCCCCTGCCTTCGCCCTAAGTCAGCTGGGATAGGCTCCAGCCCCCCCGCGACCCTAGTGAGGATTAAGCGGTGTATAGAAAATGGATGGATGGATGGATGGATGAATATGTAAAATGGTGTCCGTGAAATTTTACTACTTTAAGTACTTTGTGAGGTTCCTTTTTTTTTATAGCCTGTTGATGCTCTTATGCACATTTTTTGACACTGAGATTTGAGAATATGTTTAAATGGCAATATCACGGTTGAAATGAAATGAGTTGAATATGAAAAATAATTTAATCTTGGTAAGTATTTATTATATCAAGCCACAATTTCACAAATATCTATAAATCTCGCTAAAAAAAAAAAAAAAGGCAAATGAGTTGGTTAAGCAGAAATGGTTCTAAAAATGTTTTCTAAAAATTAAACAGACTCACATTAAATCCAACAGCAGTGAATAACAGCAAGTTTTTGTTGTGGGGAAAGTAATGGTAAAATCTAGTCTTGACTGTTTTTCTTTGGACTGAATATTCACATAAATATTCATGTACACACAGTGTTCCTACACATGGCACAGTTTAGTTTTTCACTGGATCATGTCATGATGACTAACAGTTTCCTGTCTGATCTACAGAAGGAGAAGATAACTACGAGCAGGACATAGACGAGGACGTTCCTGCTCCTCCTGCTCCCACGGCTCTCCCCAAACCAGCACCTCCCATCATACAGGCCCAGCCAATCCTCACGCCTCACCTGTCAATCCAGCACGCCACTCTGCCTCTTTCTGGAGTCCTCACTTCCCCCTCTCCCTCTGGCCCCCCTCCACCTCAAGCCATTGCCCCTGCTCCGGCACCAGGTCCGCCCCCTCCGCCAGCGCCTCACCCTATTCAGCCCCCAGCCATGCAGGTCCAACCCACCGTTATCGCTCACGCTGCCGTCTCCCACCCGTCAGTCATCCAGGCTGTCAATCACGCCCTTCCAGCCAATCACAAACACCTAACACACATCGCCCCCTCACCAGGCCCCACCTCTTCTACCCCTCAGCCAATCACAGCAGCTCCAGCTGCCCCTGCTACCGCCACTCACCAGCAAATCGCTGCCCAGCCCATCGGACACATCACCGTCCACCCGGTGGCTCACCTGGGAGCTCCCCTCACATCCCACCTCCCGACTCTCTACCCCCAGGGCGTTTCTGTCTCCCAGCCCACCATGGTGGGCCACATCACCCACACCTTCACCCACCACACCCTGCCACACGTCCAGGCTAATCCTCAAGCTAACACTAATGGAGCCCAGGTGAACAGCGCCGCCGTGGTCACCCAGGGGAGCCCGTCGCTAGGGAAACCCACAGCAGTGCTGGCACCCCACCCTCAGCTGGTTGGACAGGCTGCTGTCCTTAACCCTGTCACCATGGTTACAGTCCCAACCTTCCCTGTCAGCACACTCAAACTAGCCTGAAAAAGTTTTTAAAAAATGATTATATGGACCGATGGATGGGAGACGGGAGTGTGGACAAAGATTCAGAACCTCTGGATGAGTTTTCGTACTCCTGTCAATAATCAACAGCAGAGAATCTCTGGCAGAAAAATTTACAAAAAGCTTCAACTGTTTTCAGACATTTTGTGATGAATATCTTCTGAGATATTTTGGTCACAGCTCTGTTCGTTTGTGAACAATAACATTAAAGCAGAGTCAGTGTGTCAGGCCATTGTTTGTGAAAATGAGACTGTGACGTTTGTCTCTGCTGCAAAGACAGGAACTCTGTTTGACCTTTCTTCCTTCCTTCTCTCCTTCCTTTACAAACAGAAGCACTAACATAATAAGCTCAGTTCACACTCAGGCATCAAGGATTTACCTTAACTAATCATTCACTTGTTGAAGGAAAAACCAATACAGATGAGTATTCATTGGGCTTTTGCCGCAGTGATACAGCGTGCGCCCATTTTACATTGGTATATTCATGAGGTCATGTGGGACAATTTGTTGGAAAAACGTCACTGATGTGTTGGAGAACAGGAGGAGGGAGCTCGGCGGTCTCACTGATCCAAATAAATTACACAGACAGGGCTTTGATCAAGTGTGAAGTAGATCACATTACACAGTGGGCTAAATAGAGCTAAAGTGTTGTCACTTACTGATGCCGTTGTTCACTTTTTGCCTTTTGCAGAACTGGTGAAAGGAAAATTGCTTATTTTATATTGCTTGAAGTAATTTTCCTTTTGCTTTGCCTGGATCCAAGTGCAACACTTGATAGATGAAGTCACTGTTAAAACACCTTGCAGTTAGTTTAAGAATAATAATTTGTGTGTGGAATAATAAAACCAAATACACACAGAGAGGCAAAAGAGAAGAAAAGGGCGGCATCTGTTACACAAGGTTTCTGTTCTGATGATGTGTGCAACACTGGAGCTATTTATCCACTCCCCAATCGGGTTTTCTTTTTCAAAACAGTAGAGCTACTCCAGAAATGAGGGGCAGGGTTTAACAGGAGGAATTAGGGCAATGATTGCTTGGTTTTCTCAACACACAGTAGTGTTTGTTATGCGACGAAATCATGCCATGAAACCACACATAGAAGTAGAACAACAAGTTGGAGCAAAGTAGATTTCCAGTCCCGAAACAGACTGCAGTTCAGTTGGAAAACCAACTCAGGATTAGAAACTGGCATAATGGGATTATCTATATTTTTTTGAAAAGATTGTGCACTCCAGCTTTGATGTGGTTACCTGCCCCACAGTGAGAAACTCTCTGGTCTAAAGAAATACAGCATTAAATGCTCTTGGATGCACCTTTTACCGCTAGACCTGAGAAAATGCTTTTCCATACACCTACAGGTTATTTGAGTACATCAGCTTGGTTCTCACTGGTGATTTTTGACTCAAGAAGGCCTGATGAGAGTCATTCCAAAACTCAGCAGCGTTTACACTGACTTTTAATAGGATTGCTTGTTAGCTAAAGATCCTGTTTTCAAACCAACCAAGCCCTGTTAGAGACTCTTTGAGATAAGAGTCTACACGGACGGTCGGCTGCTTTCTTGCGAATGCCCGAGACCTGCTCTCAAACATTGGGTGGCACGTTTCCTTTTGTCCCGCCATGAGTGTTGTTTCCCTCGACACACAGTTAGGAAATACAGGTTTTCATCCTCTTCAGTCTAATGCAACAGCTCCCTCTGCTGCCTCACCGCAGACCTCATAATGATGTCACACACACGCGACGCTCGGGCCACAACACAAAATACCTGCAAGCATTTAAAATCTGGATAAACACGGAGAGATGTGTTACAGTAGTCTGACAAAAACAAAGAATTTGATATGTCATAGTGACTGCACTTCGTTTTATGTCACATGTATTGGTCACGTGACAAACTCCACCTGCTCTGAAGACAGTGGGATTTATTCTGTACGCTTATAGGTTTTTGGAAAGTTGGGTATAAAAAATGATCAAGCTGAAGATCCGCTTTTTTTTTTTTGCAGTCAAATAAAGAATAATTTGACAGCGATGTGCAGCAAACACAAGTCAAATCTTCTGTTCCAGTCTAGAAAATGAATTTGGGAAAATCCGTTTCATTTTTTTTTTCATTTCAAAATGGAAAATGTGTTGTGGCGCCCACTGCTCTTTGTGTGCATGTTCATGTGCACATACTCACAGCCTTCTTGCCAGCCTTTTTACATGTCGCACCATGAAATCTCCCCTCAGTGTATGTAGTCAGTGTTGCGTGGATCGGCTCCTTGCCTCTTCTGCTGTTTCTATATGTTATGTCTGTATATGTGACTGTATTCGATATGTTTTATATTCTGTACTATAGTTAATCCTATTGTACCTGTAGCATGGCTCTGTTTTTTGGTTATACAGTTTGCCCTGTGCATGATGGAGTGTGTGTGTGTGTGTGTAGCTAGCAGGTTATTTTTTTACACAGAGGTGATTAATGGTATGAGCCTGTTTGGGTGCTATCGTGTGTGCCTATACTCAGTTTTCCTGAACACTGTGACAGCTCTGGCAAAACACGTACACTTTGAGCGAATGGAAGAGACAAAGATTTACTGTCATAAATTGTTCCTTTTTTTTCTTTTTTTTTTTTTTTTTTTTTAATGTTTTTAAGTTTTCCATTTTGTGAGTTGGACTGAGACATGGAGTGGAAAAAGTAAAAAAAACAACAACAAACAAACAAACAAAAAAAAGCTGTTGCTCTTTTCTTGATAACATAATAATGTCTAATATTAAATTTGAGTTTTGTAATATTTGTATGTATGTATGAAAGTTTTGTAAATTTGTGATTGTACGCACGTTTTGGCATATGAGTGTATGTATCTTAAAATTTTAAATGCTTGTTTCTTTTTGGTTTTGTTTTGCATGTAGATTGCTGTTTAGTTTCTTTTGTTTAAAGGTTTTGTTTTAATGTTTATTTTTGGGACCATGTACAATACTGTATAACGTGGGCAGAATCTTGGACCTCATGCTACATTGATATTATATATGAATATAAAAACATGTTTTCCCTATGGAGAAAGTTTTAAGTTATATATCGCCTGTACACTTTGGGCTGCCTTTTAGATCTAACTGTCCACTGTTTAAGATAACAATGATGATAATGGATAAAACATATTAATGATGAAGAATTATGCTGATGAAATAATAAAGATTCTTAATAAATCTTATTACATTTACAACACATCTTGCTCCCGTGTTGATTCTTTTTAATAAACAGACACACCATAAACTGCTTTTAGAAAGTATATTTACTTCTTTGTCTTTACAAAACAGCAAAATTAGAGATTTAAAAATACAAAAAAAGAAAAACTCAAGTAATAAAACATGAAAAACGTAGTTTACATATTTAAAACCCAACATCACTACAATGACCACTAGATGGCAGTGCCACATCATCAAGGTTACAGTAAAGGATTTATGCTGGAAGATAATAATTACAATAAATATGATTAAAATGATTAATTAACAGCAGAGCAACTCTATCTTCAGAAGGAGTAATTCATTCCTGAAAATTCTGAGTCAATTCACATTTGAGCCAGTTGGACCTGTTGACGTGCTCCTAAACACCAAAAAGGGGTTTAAGGTGTAACTTGCTTCTCCTGACCGCAAACATGCATGAAAGTTTGCATGTCAGGAGCTGAATCACTCACTGCATGTCGTTCAGAGGGGTGTAATATGAAGCAAGTTTGACATAGCCAGGCTTTCTCTGTGTTAGCAAGCTCAACGAAACCTAAAACCCCAGATGATTCGTATCACGGCGGTTTTCAACTTTGCTAATCCGGTTTTCTTCACCAGCCTCTGTTTGCACTCCCAGAGGAATGCTGGTAGAAAATTGCTAATTGTGTAAGTTAATTTATTTATTTGCACTCTCAATGTCACTACTTATCTCTGACGTGAGAGCTGCACATTAGAGCTGTTAAACTGTAAACGTTAAGCATTTAAACTTGTTCCTCATGAAGTGTATTTAGGTCTGACATTGTCCCATAATAAAGGATGCTCACTTTAGCTTAGCCCACTTTAGCTTTTGCCCCATAGAAAGTGAAATTATTGTAATTGATTGAAATTCTCTGTGATAAATACCAACAGATTATTCAATTTTCTAACCTGTGTTCAGTGCAAAATGAACAGGACAGCAAATCCGAACCAAGCATAAAAAGATGTTCATGCATGTTCTGCATCATCATCTGAATGAATGGAGGTAAGACGCAAAGTGACACGAACAGTTCAGAAAGCTTTGTTCAGTGGGATTACTAACATAAAGTTCAGCAGGTTTGCAGATATAATGTACTCCCTCAGTCATCCCTAACTTTGAACAGAACCTCCTCTGGAGCAGGTTAGCTGTGTAGGATACGTTACCGTGGTGATCTAGCAGGTTAAACAACCTATTAATCTTGCTTTTTGTAAAGCCCTCTGGGTACCAACAATTAGAAACAGGCCTATTATTAACACAGCTGATTTCTATCTCTTTTTGATTGTCTGTGACCCGGGGTGCTTCTCATTGTTCAGTCATGGGAAACTCAGCAGCCTCCTTTCTGGCTTTGCTGCATCTGCTCCTGAATCCTCTCCAGCACCTCCTGCATCCTCCTCAGCTACAGAGAGGGAAAAATGTTTAGAGATTGGCATCCTGATTATCTCTGTGACTAAGTAAATGAACGAATGCGCTAGGGAGGAAGAGAAACACACCTCTTCGTCTTTCTCAAAGATGAGTCTCTCCTTTTCTGAGTCAGCGATGGCCAGCGGCAGTGGAAAATCTGCCTCGCTCTTCTCTCGATGCTTCTCACGTAAACTAAAACCCACATTCACGCACATACACGCAGGTAGAAACACAATCTCAGTGAGCTTGTACATTTTTTTGTTCTTCTCAACTTTAACTGTCAGGTAGGCCACTCTAAATAGGAACTTAACTCACAGGAATCAATCAATCAAACTGTGTCGGTGTGCATCCCGTCTCCACCCACCTGCGTTTCCTCTCCTGTACCACCATGCGCGTCATGTTCTGGATGCACTGAGCTCTGTAGTTTTCATAGTGAATCTCGCGCGTCACGTCCTTCAGATCCTGCATGTGTGTTCTCACCAACATGTTCCTCAGCAGCAGGAAGTCAGAGTGAGCCGGGTTCTCCACTGACCACGCAAACAGAACAAGAGCATCACATGAATTTAGTACAAAATCAAGACGCAAGGGCAAATGATAAGGTAAGAGTGAACCACATATTGATAAAACAATTAATATGATTTGATTTGCAGTGCAAAAAAGTACACTACCGCGGAAAGAAATTGCTAAACTAACAGTAAAAACTAACTAAACACAAACTGAGATGTTAAATAAACCTGGAAATCATTAAAAACTCAAGTGTCAATACCTTCCACCACTCCCCAGGGATAGACACGAGCCCTGTACTTGCGACCTTTATTCTCCATCTGTACGTTACCCCCAATGACTGCAAACGGGATGCTGTCCTGTGGAAAAAAGCCAGAAAAACAAACTGCCAAAAAACCGTCATTGCAAATTTCAAGCTTGAATTTCAAGTTAAGAAGTCAGCTGAACAACCTTGAGGATTTGTTCCTCTGTCTTAAAGTCCTCTTCCTCGTCTGAATCAAACTCAGGGAACTGGTAGATGTTTATCCCAAACTGCTTGATCTCCTCTCTGATCTGAAGCACATGGACACAATGAAACAATAATGTTTGAGGTGGAGACACACAGAAGAATAGAAATGAAACTTTTGCCTTTGCAGAGTTTGGAGAGCTTCAACTTCTGAACTCTCAGTGGGAACAGAACAGACAGACTGAGGTGACATTGACAGTGAAGTACTGAGACAGACAGACAAGTCTATTTAAAAGAACATTTGAAAGATGTGGATGCTTACCAGGGAGGAGAAGGTCTAATGAAAGACACTGGTGCATTATGGGAAATAGATCCAGTGTTTTTGGACTCATTAAAGGACTGAAATTTTACACACATTTTTGTTTTTGTGGTTTTGAAGAAAATATCTAAACAACTATTATAGGGATATTAGCTAAACAAATATTGTCATTAGCTTCAGCCGATTTACTTTTTTTTTAGTGCCAATTGGCAAATGTTAGCATGCCAAAATTGTCAACTTACACATGAAAAGATGCTGAAATGTTACACCGAAGCATGTTCAGCATCGTCACTGTGAGCAGGGTGGCTCGAAGCAACAAGTAGAACTGACTTTATGTATGTGCAATGCTAACTTGTTGAGATACCCTGTTATATACATTATTACAGCAAAGAAATGACAACTCCAGCCACGTGTCTCAGTTCAGAGCAGTTGCATTTGTGTGTGTTGTGCTCTTATACCTTCATCTTCTTCCTGTAGACCTCTGCATGTGTCAGACTGTCAGCTTTGGCCAGTAGTGGAATTATGTTGACTTTCTCGTGCAAGGCCTTCATACACTCCACATCCAGAGGTCGAAGACTGGGGAGAGAAAACACACACACATACAGAAATATGCCCAAAACATATCGACTAGCTTTTATCTGAGGCTGCTGCAACCCTGTCGTCTTTATGTGCAGCCATGCTGCGAACGTACCCGTGGCCGAACGGAGAGATGAAGTAGAGGCAGCAGTGGACTCTGTTGTCCTGGATGTTCCTTCTGTTCAACCCGCTCTCATCTCTGAAGTACTGTTCAAACTGCTGGTCGATGTAGTCTTCGAGGTGCTTAAAGCTGATAAAAACACATAGAATCTCTTTGAGTTAAACTACAAACCTGGTGGAGGGAGACATTTATAATATGAGGTATTTCAAAATAATAACATGTTGTGTATGCTTGTGATGACATGAGTCTGTTTCATGACTTTGGAGCCTCTCCACGACAATTTATAACTTTCAACCATGTAGTGCCACCAAAACAATGCTGTGGTTGGAGCTGAATAATCTCTGTTTTTTCAGGAAGGTGCCAAACTAAGTGAAATGACCCAAAAATCAACAACTGCCACCAAGTGGAGTCTAAATCTTACTTATGTCCACATGAATTCTCCTTTCCTTGCCTCATGACATTTCCCATGAAGGAAAAATATTTCGGAAAAGACACAAGATACATTTTTTTTACTACTCAATCACAACCTGCGTCTTGTCTGAGTCAAGCTGATTTGAGTTTGCAGGAGCTGAACAATGCTGCAGATGCATGTTTATGACCTCACCATTCTTCGTTATTGACGGCATCTCCGAACCCCGGTGTGTCGATGATGGAGAGCCTAAGTTTGATTCCTTTCTCCTCAATGCTGATGGTATGTTTGACGATGTCGATTGTTTGGTTGATCCGTTCTGCAGACACACACAAGCGCAGATAACCTCGACAGTATGTACAAAAATGTACAAGAACACACATACAATAAGTAGCAACAGCATCAGAGCAGCTGATAGTGGAGTTTTCCCAACACAAAGAAATTAGATGATTAATCTCACCTTCTGCGTTTGGAACCTTTCTGTCTTTGTAGAGGTCCGTGAGGAACAAACTGTTGATTAGTGTGGATTTGCCGAGGCCGGATTCCCCTGCAGAGAAGAATGAGGAAGACATCATATGCAACTGTACATGGACTGTAATCCTCTGAATAATTTATTTCAACACATATAGTTACAAAACCTTCACCAAAAATGAAAGATTGCACATCATACAGCGCCACACTCCCACTATTACATACAGGCAGATTAACACTCCACTCTTATGTTATCAGCTAAAACTTGATATTTAAATATGATTGTGTGCTTTGTTGTGTTTTTTTTTTCATAAATCCCAAAGACGGGAAGTTAAATTCAGTCATAATTTTGGTGTCAAAGCAAATGTAAAGTGGGACTCACCTGCAACCATTAGCGTGAATGTGAAACCTTTCTTCACTGTCTTTCGATGAACCTGGTTGGGCAATGTGGCGAAACCTACATACTCTTTGTCCTGATCCTACAAAAAGGAAACACCAGGTGAATATACAGTTTGTGGGTATTAGTGCAAATGTTTTTTCTTACAATAGAATTGCACCATTTTATCTGCCTCCTTGAGCTACAGTGCAGTAACACAGTACTGAGACATTACAGAAGCAGTCAGACACAATCAATCACCGGTAGCGATCGATAACTCTGTCACACCCCCGCTGATATATGTCCCCCCCGTGGCGCAGCCAAAACCTTAATCACACCTCTCAGTGAACAATGTGGTCGTCACAGAAACAGCTTTGACTGTTGTGGCCTGACCTGGACTCATTACAGTCTGACCCTCATGACCTGCATCCTCTGCCTCCCACGTCTACGAGCTGCACTGCAAAGCATCATGGGATCTACCCTCACATTAACTCTGACCTAGAAGGACGAGGGGAACGACGAAGTGAGCGGAGGAGGGAAAAAACAGCAAACTGTCATCTTTAGAGCTCAGAAAAGTTGCACTTTGAGGGTCGAACAGAGGCGATACCACTTGTTAACCATATCGATGTAAGGCTTCAGATGTGGAAGTTGATGTCTGACCTCTGTATTGAGAAGCACTTCATCTTGCTTATGCTGAAGTGTTGCTGATGAAGTAGCAAACAGCTGCACAGACATTGGCAGTGGGTGTCAGGGTTCAAAACGGTACTAATGAATTAAGTAACAGGTGCTACTGGAACGACGTTGGAAATCATATAGAGATGTCAGCAAACTTCAAACCAGACATTATGTGACTTAGCATATACACACCTCAGGAGAGTCATAGGGGTCAAAGCGTCCCCAGGGGCTACGTGGACGCGAGGCTGGGCTGAGTGGAGAGTCTAGAGACACCTGAGAGGCAAGCTGCCTCCTCAGCTGCATGTGCGGAAACTCTCGGTCCAGTCCTACATGATTTGCTCTGGGAGGGACTATCGGAGAGCCAGCGGGGTGGCAGGGGAGTGGACGGGACGGAGGAGGGGGAGTCTCGGGAAGGCTGGGGAGTCTCCCATTGGGTGCTGTCCCAGTTCCTTCTGCCTCACGGTGACCCGAGGGCTGGTGGTGCTCGCTGGACTGGGACACGGGAGGCAGATCCCTCATGGCGTAAGGGAACTGTATGTCCTCCTGGTCCTCGATGGACAGACTGGACACCTGGAACAGAAGGCAGCAAATTTAGATATTGTTTTATTTATAAACTGAATGTTAGTAGGACAAAAAAAAAAAAGTTAATTTCAGACATTACATTGACAAAAATGTTAAGTGAAACTTATATTTTGCTTTTTTTAAGCTTCTTTTATTTGATAAATAAACCTTGACTGTACGTAGGTTTCTTTAAGTCAGGAGACTAGACGTCCTACAGAAAATTAGAGATGTCAAACATTTTATTTCTTGCATTCTGGTGAATTACGATGCACTCATTTTGTAATTTCTGCCTCAATTTATGGTGGAAATTTATTTAAGTGAAGGAAATCACAAAATTCAGACTATTCAAAATATAACTGTATACAATACTGTAAGGCTTTCAGGGATTCTGTATTACTTTCAGTCTAACACACACACACACACACACCCACACACACACACACACACTATTATATATTATATATATATTCACTCTTCTGCCCTCTACTGTGTCTTTTGTTTAGTAAAGTAACTTCTTTAAATCTGCATCTAGCACTTTTTCATGTCAATAATAAAAGTATTCATTTAAATTCATGTACAAACCGCTCAACTTTAACATCTCAAATGTGTTTTAATAAGATTTCTCCTCATGTGTCAAACTTTCTGCACATTCAGAACACATCACACATCTCCGTTTGATATGCTAAGTTTCACTCAAGTCCGGGGATGAATTTTTAGCAGAAGTTACACAAGATTACTACTCCAGACAGAACAGTAGAAACTCAACATTTTGACCATTCCACTTTGAATAAGTCATTTTTTGAGTATTAAAACATGAAATATATGTGTTATTTATCTGTTGCTGCCAAAGCAAAGAAGGCCATGCTCTCTGAATGCATGACGTGGTGAGCGTGTGTCCTCTCCTGCAGGGGCTGGCTACGCTCTTTCTTTAGTGATTGGATCTGACCTGTGATCCCATTATACCATTACAAAGGTCCTCATCCATCTGTCCAGGCAGCATGGAGAGACAGATAACAGTCTGGAGCTGGAAGTTAGTAAACACCGGGGTCAAAGTGGAGACACATGACATGCTGAGATGCTTGTTTTTCCTTACTTTTAAGGCGCAGAGGCAATTCTTGTCGTTAAAATTCATCAGAACAGTACGTGTTTGTGCACTCTCTCTTATCCGAACACCTCACTTCACACCTGCTTTAATAACTTCCCCACAGAGCGACTCTGCTTGCTTGAGAGGCGAAGCACATCGTCCTGTTGACCTGGTCTAAAGACAGCAGAGCAGCACAGCGCGCACTGCTGCCGGCCTGATCAGGGTTCATCTGGCGTCCCTCTACCTGTCAGCTCTCATTACCCACAAAGCTTTGCAGCAGGCTTAACCCAGCTTCTAATGCTCAGACAGGGTGGGGGGTTGGAGGTTTAACTCTTCAGCACACACACAATCGCTAATAAACACTACATCTAAAGACTATTCTAGAAAAACTTGTCCTACCTCCTTTTCTGAGAAAGCTGCATTTTTTTGGTTTTTGTTTTTTTCCAGAGAGGACAGCATGTATCAATGTGGGAAATAATGTAGAGTTTGTTAAAGGAAAAACAAATGCAGGCAGGTTTGATTGTATAATGACAACTAAAGTCAAAAAGAAATGAGAACTAAGTGAACAAATTATAATAAAAAAGTAGACAACCTTGCTACAGGTGAAGATGAATAACATGCACTATATATATATATCTATAATGGAGTACAAGAATGCAAGAGCCTAAAGTACAAGTCCATGCAGGAATATCACAACCTTCTATGTTGATTTTTCAACTGGCTGAACATTTTTAATTGCTAAAATAATCAGTAATTTGAAAAAAAATAATCAAGCCAGCCTACTTGTGTACAAAAGCGGGTGATCAGAGATATAAACGTACCTTTTTTGTTGCTGCGGAATCTGACCGGAGAGGACATGTGCTCCATGATGCTGCCGGTTTACAAACTGTCCTCAGATCAGAGGAGGACACAGCAGGGACACACTGCAAAGACTTACTCTGTGTGTGTGTGTGTGTGTGTGTGTTCATCCATTAGACTGAGCTCCACGTCTGCTCAGTGTTTGTGCCACTCTGGTATGTTTGTACAAGAACATAGACTATATATTCCCCTCAAGTTGTCAGAGTTTGACTGTAACATGTCTAATATTACACTGAAAGTCTATTTTAAAAACCTTCACCTCCCTGCACAATCCAGCTACCCACTGGAGAGTGTAAATATGGTTCTCAGGAAATTTGTCTGTCTACCTGCAAAAAAAATTGAACAGAACGAAATGGGGAAATTTTTCTTCTTTTTCTTTTTTTTTTTTTTTTTCATTTTTACAAATAGAATGAAGGACTCAAAAATCAAAAGCTGTAATAACTCTTACACCTTTAATATAGTCTACTAGCAAAAAAAGCACAGAAATCTGCTTTTTCGCATTTTCACTAAAAAAAAAAAATGAAGGTGGCGCAAATTAGAAATGGTATTTTTAAGAATCTGATTAATATGCCATGAAATCACCCCTTTTTCATTTTCAGAAATTAAATAAAGATTCATTAATCAGAATCTTTGCTTAAATAATCTTTAGCTTCTCTGCCATAATCTAGTCCAGATTTGGCCAGTCTATATGTAGTGGTTTTGGATCTGGACTTGGTCTAATCATGTCAATATGTGAAATTAAAAACACAGAATTCTCCTTCTTTTTGCATTTTTACAAACACAATAAATGGTTACCAAATCAGACAGTGCTGCAAATAATCTTGAGCCTCTCCACTGTAATGTAGTCCAGATTGGTCCATGTAAATTAATTTATTCTACGTTTGAATAAAGGTTTCACAAGTTTAAAAGTGGGTTTTAGAAAGCAATAAGAATTTATCTAAAATGTGTAACACGGTTTTACGTTAATAAAATGAAGGGGAAAAAACTTGGCGGCAGTTCCCTTAACAGCTGAATCAGAAGCTAACTCCAGCGTTAGCTTACCTGCAGTATTTAGCAACCTGTGCAGGACCAAGCTAACTTGCGGCGAGGAAAACTTACGCGATAAAACGAAGGGGATTTGGTATGCCAGCTAACCAGTAGAAGCCCATTTTAAAAATAACTATGGTCTTCTTAATCTACTCTTTCAGTTTAACCTGTTTAATAAGCCACGAATGCTGCTACGTACCATTGGACGTCCAAGTCGGGTTAGCTGTGAACGTAAGTAAAGTGTTTGACAAGCTACAAAATGCTACAAGATGCTAACTAACGGCTGAAGCGAGCATCCCAGCTTGGAGTTGACATTTAGCCTCATTTGTTTGGTAAAACCAGGAGTATTTGCTACATGAAGACCACTTACATCTAGACTCATATGCGGCAAACATGAGTTTTAAAGTGTTTTCCTACATTTTAATATTTATTAGTATGTTTAGCCCGAGAACTGTGAGTTAACACCAAGCTAAGTTAGCTTAAGCAGCTGTTATGTGCCACACAAGGAAAATGTTGGTAAGCGTTTTGGTATGCCTGTAAATATGAAAAATAATGTTAAATTGGCACATACAAGCAAAATACGTAAGTTTAGTCTTTGTTTCTTTACAAATTGATTGCTGGGCTTAATCTTAGCTATGTGGCTTTAATGTAAGTAGCCTAAAATGTTAGTCTGAGTGAAGTAAAAACGGAATAGTATTCATCCACATCTGTAAGACTCTAGTCTAAAGGATTCTTCTGACCAACAGTAAATTAGATGTTTTTTTTTTTTTTTTTTTGCACAACCTTGGAAGATTTTCAAACATTGCTTTTTACTATATGTTTTGAAAAAACAATGCTTAGCACTGTGACATGAGGGACACTAACTGGAGCCAGATACCATTTTTCAAAGCCATCACTGAAGCCTGCAGGAGGTGAGCGTCTTACACCTGGTTCACAGCTTTTATGTTACATAGAATTATTACTTCAACCATAATGATGTGAATTATTACAATACATCATAATATTAAAAATGTGAAGTCATTTGTAAAATATCATTTTGTCATCCACTGTATTAAATGATAAGCAAGGACTGCATTTGATCATTATTTTTATTCTAAGTAGCAATTTAAGCGTAGACTCATTTACATGTCGCTTTATTGTGTTATCTACAGTTTAGTAGCAGGAGTATTTATTTATTTTTCTTAATGTTCACAGCTCAGTGTGTTGAATGTGGCTTGACATCTGTCAAGAGAAAACATATAAAGCATTCTGATAAATAATGCAATACAGCTTAAAGTATAAAGTGACATGTGTTTCACAGCTTCTGGACAAAGTTGAAACGAGAGCCCAAGTGATGTACTGGTTAGCCAGTTTTAGCTTGTGACACATACAGTTATGTCCTAACGTTGGTCGATTAGTAAAGAGAAATGGTAGTACAGAATTGCCAAAGTTATATTTGAGTTAATTTATAAACAGTTTTGCCATTACATAGTCTGTCCACCACTTTAGGGGAATTGAGGATCTACAAAAATGAATCAGAAATAGGTGTTTTTGTTATCTGTTTATGTTAATACATGTGTGTGTTTGAGTGTGTATGTGTGTGTGTACTCTGGCCAACGTAAAGGGAATAAAAAAACTCCCAAAGTGTCAACATGGTTATCATTGACATCCAGCATCAGTCGGGCTCTAGCTACAACCAGACAAATACTGGTTCACAGAGCAATATGGTGCCAGTGTCATTTGCTAGGCAATTGTTTTCAAGCTGCATACAAATCTTTGCTGCTTCTCATGCAAAACATCCCATATGAATCTTTACTGATTCATTTCGTGCCCCCACAGGTTTTCCATGCCTTAGTCCTCCACAAACAACTTTGACTCTTTCATTTGTCTCCCAGTTGTTTCATTTCAAAAGGCACACACGTCTTCATAGCATGTCTGTAATCCCTGGGCTCTGTAGATATGTTCTGTCTTAGTCATCAGCCTAAGCAGTCAGAGAAACGAGCTGTCCTCTGTAGATCCGTCCCACATCGCGCTGCATATCGTTCTTGGCCTGTTTGACTGGCTGAGCAGCCAGTTCCTGGCCTGCAGTGATTGTGATGGTTCATGCTGAGCTTTTAGTTGTCCTGTGGAATTATTGTGTTCATAGGTTTCAGAGCCATTCTTGCAATGGTCGTCATGCGTATGCTGCTCCCCGTTTGAATGGCTTTCAGGTGTGCTATTTTGCTCTTGGCTCTGGTCGACGTGGATAGGTTCTATGTGGTTATTTTCATTGTCTGACCGTTGCCTGGGATTAAGGCTCTGTCTTTGCGGCTGTGAAGGCTGGATTTGTTCTTGAGAAATGAAGGTTTTGTCCTGGTTGTGAGTGTGACTTTGGTGGTTGTTATTCTGCCAGAAGGCTCTACAGAGCTGCTCTAACTCAGAAAGCAGAGGCAGACCGATGTCCAGGTTCATCAGCAGGTTGTCCAGCCACTCCTCCATCTTTGAAAAAGTAGGACTGAAAGGCAAAGTGTTGCAGTGATGAGAAGTTGTGGGGCTTTACATGCTCTGCTGCATATACTAATGCTGCTTAGGCAAACTGTATCAGTTTAGTTTGTGTAATGCATTACACAGTGCACTACGCAGTGTTCCAACATTGCATTAAAACAATGACCCCATTACTTTCTGTCTATACTGGTAAAAGAACAACATCATAGATTTGCAGTTGTGGTGGATTTATGCATTTACCGTTTATCTGCGTCCATGTCACAGCAGAAGACAGCCAGTGGCAGGAAGGCAGAGGGGCACTGTGGTGGGTGGTACTGCTGCAGGAAGCCAGCCACATTTAGCCCAAAGTCATTTGTCCGGGGAAGGTAGTCAGGGTCGGCACTCACTCTGCCTATTATCTTAAGAAAGACAGAGATAGATACATGTTCAGCTTTAAATTGACTTTGGATTCATGATAAATTCCTCAGATTCTTGGTTCACCTCAACATCGCTTAAATTCTTAGAAATCAAGTGCTTAATGCTTCTTACCTCGCATATCATGATACCAAAGGAAAAGATGTCCACCCGTTCATCATAGGTCTTCCCTGAGAGGTGCAGAGGAAACATAAGAAAATGTGAATGCGAAATGTGAAGCAAATTTCGACTGACCTGTGCTGGAGATGTCGAAATCCTGTGTTCTATATATTCTTATTAGATCTGCTGTTTGAATAAAAATTTTAACAGGTCTCCTACACTGTTTCCCCCTTGTTTGAATTGTTTAGCATAGTTCAGCTTTCATGGTATCAAGAGGCAAGAGGCAGTACTGTTGAGAAACTTTACTTAGAGTTTGAATCTGAGTCAAGCTGCAATAGATGAATCATATCCTATTTTCAAGAAGGTAGTGGCATTTAAAAATCCAGCATAAAACCCTGATACCCTTAGGCTGTTAAGTCTCACTTTACGGCCAAATTTCTTGACTCATAATCAATAGTAATATGATTACTATTTGTGTTGATGTATATAATACACATTGATATAAGAAAGTAATTGAGTTTACATAGATCCTCCTTACTGTGTCCTCCAAAAGTTTAGAAAACTGAATTCAGAGTACTGAAGGTTACTGAAGGTGACAGTTCTGCGCTCACCATGGATCATCTCAGGAGCCATCCAGTAGGGGTTTCCCACCACAGTATACCGCTTTCTTCGATCAAGCCTGCGGAACTCTGACAGTGCTCCCTTCGCAGGCCGCTCCAAAGAAGATGTTCTGTTCTGATTCCTCTCCTCCATCACCAACCTGGCTAGTCCAAAATCTGCCACGACCACAGACTGGTTCTACGCACACAGAGAGAGATAAAGAATTGTTCAGACATACAGTGTGGTTGTGCAGTGAGGTTTTGTTTTAGCTGTGTTGGTCTGTTATTGTTGGAAAGTGCTATGTGCAGCCTTTGTGTTGCAACAAATGACATATCCCATTTCTCATAAAGCTTAATGGCGTGAAATCAGTTATGTGTGCAACAACAAAAGGATGAAGTTAGACAAGTTAATTCCACTAATGTTGTGTTATAGTTTGTTTGTTTGTTTGTTTGTTTATAATTTAGTAAAACACTGGAGAATGTAAGACTGCCAATGGGGCAATAGTCTTGTTTATGAAGAGTTAAAAACTTTTAAAGACTTCAGGAAACAGAAGAGTTTTGTTAAGATTTGATATTTAAGAAATAAAAATTAAACATTAGCATTCATGTAATTGTAGAACATTTTTTTTCCCAGGTTGTTTACACAATTACTTTATAGCTACATATTTGTGTTTTGGTCTTTGCTACTTAAAGCTTGAGTGTGGGAGATTTAGCTGAACATTCAACTGTATATATATCCCATTCAAGCCCTTGTCTAATAAGTTCACACATACTAATTAAGCCTGTCAGTGCAAGGTAAATCTCATTGTTTGTTACTGTATGTCAGAGTTTTAAATTTGTTTTCTGCGATGACATTGTATGCCAATGCACCGATAGTGATGCATCTTACGTGAACCAGTTCTAATTGGTTTACTGATGGCAATGGAGTAAGCTACAGCAACTAGGAGTTTTGCAGAGCCTCTGGTGAAAATAACCTACAACTTTAATGTGTTCAGAGGAAGAATTACAGTCTAATAATGAAAGCAATCAACAGGACATTAGTCACAAGTAAGCACTGACATTGTTTGTGTAATTACTCTCACAGCCACAAGGGGGACAAATATTCTGCACTGCGTGTTTAAATAAAGTATATGATAGACTTGGGACAAATCTGGTTATTTTACCAACTTGGAATTGGATCCATGGAGGATGTATCAGCACCTATCTTTGGTCTTGTGTGCTCAGTAATTTTACATTTATCTGCACTATCACAGTAATGTAACAAGACAACACATACCGTTTTTGAAATAGAGTCAAGAAAAGTGGAACATTGACAGTTTTAATGCAGTTATACATTTGATGGAACAACTTGTTTACCTCTCTGACCAGGCAGTTGTGTGAGTTGAGATCTCGATGGATAACATTCATAGAGTGTAGATATGCCTTTGGAGGAGAGATGTTGTACATATTAGACACATTTTTTTTTTAGATTGTGTAGTAACTTTGGATATTTTTTTAGTGAATGTTGATGTGAAGGACTCACCATTCCAGCTGCAATGTCTTTGGCATAACCAACTCTTATATTCCAGGGAAAATCCTTGTCCTACAACAACAAAATTGTCACTAACACACTCTGTTTGTGTACTCTGACAGTACTCATTGAGGAATTGAACAGCTTATTCTAACTCACCATTTTTTCGATAGTCTCTCGGAGAGTTCCTCCCTGAATGTACTCAGAGACAAAATGTATCCGTTTATCTTTATAAAACAGTCCAATGAACTTGAGAACATTGGGATGGTCAAGGCAGCGCATCACCTTCACCTGTACAAATTTGAGGAAGGTTGGATCAACATACACATAATTTAGATTTAAATATATCCTCTAAACTTATTATGTGTTACAGGTTTTGTATCACTATAGTCGACTTCTAAATAAATAGACCACCAACTAGAGTGCTCTTGCTGTAAAGCAGACATTCAGATTGACTCCCTCCTACCTACATCTTCAATTGTGTGGCCTTTTTTGCTCTGATGATCACTCACCTCCTTTAAGAAAGTCTTCTGTGTCTCTTCATCAGACCTTATCAACTCTTTCATCACCATCACCTCTCCTGTCTCCTGATGTGTTACCTTGAGGGCAGCAAATTGATCACAATGCTGAGTGAAATCGGTTTTAGAACTAAATGTTTAGAGAATGTCAGTTGTAATGTGAATGGCAAAGCGTGAAGAAGTATCTGGGATACCTTGACAGCCTGTCCAAAGCAGCCCTTGCCAAGTACTTCTCCATGGATGAGATCTGAAGGTCTGAAGATGCGATGGGTCCGATCTCCAGGGTCCACACGAAGCGACTCTGAGCGAACCATGTCTCTCCTTTGAGATAAAAGCGACAGCGCTCGAGGAGACAGGGGACACTTATCTATGCTACAGCTGCGCCTGAGAGAGAAAGAAAGAAAACAGGCTTAGACAGACAGAAAGTAGGGGAGTAATTAATCAAAGTAAACTGTCATTCACCACTTACAGAATGTGTCTGGATCGCATTCCCATGACTCCTTGGTTCTGTGGTGGTGAGAGGCTCATCCGGATTTGTCCATCTGTCTCCTCCCGTGGACTTGGCTCTTCCTCCAAGCTGGGGAGTTTCCTGGCAGAAGAAAGTTTTTCGGGGACACAGGAGTCGTGGTCTGTGATGTTATCTGGGGAGGTGCCTGAGTGAAGGTCATGAGGAGACTGTGGGTTGTGTTCAATAGTCAGCTGCAGGGGTCTGCTGGTGTCCTGGATCACATGGTTTATCTAGAGCAAAGAACAGTACAATAACCTTGATGTTGCTGTGGTCTTTAAGTCATGCTTAATAAGCCACCGCTTCTTTTTTACATTCCGATTACTACTGAATCACTGGGTCATTTTGAGGCCTACCTCGTCTGGGGAGATATTGCGGACTGGGATGCCGTTAACCTCCAGTACTTGATCACCCGTGTGAACAGAGGACAGCAGGTCATCACTGAGAACAGCGGAGTCTAACCTGAGGCAGACGAACAATGATTGATTGGGTGGAGAAAAGGTGCCGTAAGACAGGATAGGAGGCTGGGTTGGAGGTTAACAGTAGGTAAATGCCAAATTCACTCTTATTCATGCCTTAAATCCAGACACTTACTCTGTCACAGTGACTCGAGGGCTTTTGTCTTGGTTGAAGTCAGTGGCGACAGTCAGGCCTCGTTGACCAACTGCATGGGGAGGGAGAGACACCAGCGCCACCATGTGTGAACTCTTGGTGAGTGAAGTTGACCTCACAGTTGATACACCCTGACAGAAACAGTGGCCACTGCAGAGACAGAAAAAACACCACCAATCAGAATACTGAAACCACATTAGACATCGACTGATATGGTATTGTCAGGGCTGGTAGTGAATTTTAGTAACCAAGAGGACAGAAAACTCATAATCTTGTGAAAATGTAGAATTTACTCCAAGTCAAAACCTTATTCAAACACCTTTGCTTATTCACCAAATAAATATGTTGAACAGATAGCTTTAAACACTTGTCTTATAGTCTTGACTTTTACTGGTGAAGCACAAGCAATCAGATAGTGCTGTAGGTAGGCCATTGCTTGAAACCACAGAGTGCTTACAACAGCAAAAGAGAGGCAGTTGCATCAGAGCTACAATACAACATTTTTAATGAATTTATTCTATTGGAAGCTTCCTTCGTTTGTTCACATAGAGGACTTGTTTATATTTTTCCTTTCAACTTCTTACTTACCAGTAGAGTTTGGAGCGTTCAATGAGTGTGTACGAGTCTCCATCTCCAATGACCATTTCACAGCTCATGCAAGTGAAGCATTCAGGGTGATACTTTTGGTCTCCAGCTACCTGTTAATGCAGAAAGGTAGTGTGGTAAAACACAATGCAGAGGCCAGAGGAATTATGTTTCTTCTTTTACAAGAGGACTTGGTCAGGTCAGCTTGAGCAGCTCTGAAATATACGTGCTCTTTCTGTTCATTCATGTATAAAGGATGTTTTTTAGAGGATATCCTGTGGTGTGCGAGTCAAAAGAAGAAAAAAAAATTACTATCAGGAAGAAAACTAGAGACAGGAAGGCTTTAAATGTATGAACAGTCTGTGTAGCTTGTTGAGATTTGGTATTACTTGTTGTGATATTTGATCATGGCCATACTTCTTACATAATACACATTTGATTTGTCTGGCCATTTGTCAGTTTGAACAGCTGGTGGCTTTGAATGATCAATAAAGCAGCTATTTTTAATCTTTCACGCCAACTATCAATCAATTTGGTACTGTCTGAGTTCAAAATGTTTTTAAGCAGGTGTTTTAGAAAAGCAGAAACGGTCTGTTGAGTTCAACTGTTGTGTTGTGAGTGATTATAATGAAATGTTAGTCTGTATCATAGAATATGGCCAGAGGGGAAATGGGTCAGGAAATGACTCTATCGTCTTACGTAGTCCAGAACTGCACATACAGTCAGAGGCATTATGAGGGAAAGACTGGCCATCTAAAGAATCCTGAGTAGAAATTTATTGGAGAATAGTTGTGGGTTGTGAGGTTTGCCTATAAGGACTTTGGTACAGTGAAGTTTGCAGCCTGCACATATCATGTTTGGCAAGAAACAGTTTGTTGTGCTGTGAAGGTGCATTATTTCAGTGTCAGAGCATTTGTATGATTGAAACAACATTGTGAAAGTGACATAAATTTGTTTTTTATTGCTTTGTTGTACAAAGCTCGAAACCCTGTCTCTCTCCATTACTTGATATAACTTCTAAAAAGTCATCTATTAGTTTCAGAGTTACATATTTCAAAATTTCTCCCATGAAAATAATCTCTTAATTCCTTAAAATTGCTTAAATGTAATTCTACAATGTTGCTATCTCTAGAATGTGCGACGGTGCTGACCACTGAGCCGAGAACCGAGCAGAGAAATTTAGCTAGACTTATTCGAACTGCAAAACATTTCTGAAGAGCAGTAATGATATGGAAACACCCACAAACAAGCTTCTTGTTTGGTAGGTATGGTATTTATAAAAACCCTAGCTGTCTAAATCTGTTTTTATGAGATTGTGATCAGTACGCGGTAGTTTCAAGATGGAACTGCTCAGCTATGACGCTGAAGGCTTGTTTTGCTCATGATGTGTCCGCTAGCATATAAAAAAACAATATGGGCATGCTAACATGGTTAAAAAAATAAAAATAAATAAATCATTTCTTCGGGGGTCTTTAAACCCTTAATCTAATTTGACTGATTTGGGAAAGTTTGGAAGATTTACGGAGAGTATGTGAAGCCAGGGTAATTGCTACTCATTTTTAATAACACAGAATTTTTATTTAACTTTACAATTGTAAACATTTTACCAGAGGATGTTTTTAAACATCTTTTATTTTATAAAATGTAATTATCATGGATTTGACCACATTGTCAAAAACATATTTGACCTTATTGCAGAAGCTTAGACAGATTTTTTTTTTCACATTTTGATTCATGAAGGCTTTAATATTATCATGTTACCATAATGAGTCCTGTTGTGATGGTGTCCTTGCAGCCGTGGCAGTGTTCTCCATAGCGGGACCAGTAGTGCTTCTTGCAGTAGAGCTGTCCCTCTCTTTCATAGTACCAGTGAGACAGGATGCAGCCACATTCACAACACCTGCAGGAAGGAGGAAAGCAAGAAAGACAGGGGAAACAATGAGATGGTAGGAAGAAGAAACAAGAGAAATGTAGATTTAGATTAGGCTGTAAGACAGTAGATACTTCAGAGGTGTGTTTAAACAAAGTAACGCGAGCCCAATCAGTGATGGAACACTTGAGACTTGTGAGGAAAGTCGACCCGTTAGATCGTCACACATGGGATCACACTTCCAGGTCAGCTGGACCACAAATCATTGTCTTCGCTTTAGCCTATTTTTATCACACAGTATACTTTTTCACTGATACCCAGCTCCTTTCTTCTCTCGTTTTGAATGGCAATGTGATGCTTGTAGTAGTCACAAAGTTGAGGATGAGACATCAAGCTGCTACTGTTTGTGCAGCACGTCACTAGAGGAAATACAGTTATCTCTTCCGCAGTAAGGGTGTTGAGATGAGGCAGAATGTAGATACCAAATTGCTGAAGTCATGGTGACAGAGAGCGCATTGAGACAGGAGTCAAATTAACTTTGCGTCTTACAAAAGAGCTACTCATGTAGGGTCACTGGTCAGTCACATGTCTTCACAAAAACACTGCAACCTAATGTTGGTTCCCCATGGGCACACCCACTCAAGATTGCACAAGAGAACTAAGAAAAGTGCAAACTTTATGCCTGTTGTCATTTATTCCTTAAATACAGACAAGCATGGGCAATGTGTGCCCTTTAAAATCTGTAAACTGAAACTTTCCTGACTAAAAAAGAATAATGCCGCTGTAAAACAAAACCCCTGCTTCCTTATCTCTCCAACACTACAACCGGAGTGGGAGGTGACTTCCTGGGCTGAGTACTGATCCATGTTTCCTCTCTCCTAACCTCAGCTATACAGTAAATGCCATACTGTTCTAACAATAGGGAATGAAAAGATCGACCTATATTGAGATAAAAGTAGTTGGGAAGCAAAACACTCAACCTTCACTGTCCTTTTGGATGTGTAATGAAAGCATTTCACTGTGATATGTGACATATTTAATTTATATAAAGTTTTGTTGTTTTTTTTTGGCTTACAATAGAAAATAAAAGATGTGATCAGTGAAGTCTTAAATCTTGTAAAACAACTTAAAGTTATAATAATCGTGATCTTGCTTCTTCAGCTTTTGGTGCTAATGCTGTGGTGGTTTTGCATTGCATCACAGACAGTGTCCCTAATGTGACAGCTACACTCAGTTGTTCTTCTCTTTCTTCTGCTGTTGCTGCTGTTGGTAATGTAAAACCTATCACCTTTTTGTGGCAGAAAATACACACGACATGAGAGGACAATCCCATTTTCTAGCAGCACGATAGGAAATGCTGTTAGCGATCAATTTGACCTGCTTCTCATTCGTTGCAGAGGAAATAATTAAGTAATAAAGCCATCAAACAGCTGCAGGTTTATTTTTGACCTCCTGTTATTGTGCTGCTGGCGACGGATGTGAAACCTTTCAGCTTCACATCTGCAATTCCGCTTTAACATCTGGTCCCAAGAAAACCTTGGAATCAGCCCGCCGTATATCCAGAGAATTTATCCTCTCTGTTTCTTAGCGTCACCCATCTAATCACATTTCTCTGTTTCTCCACCTGAAAGTGTTCCCGTCATCTGGCTCATGCTGTGTCTTATCTCTATCTTTAGCCAGTGGTAAAACTCCTCTTTGTTGTTGTGCCACTAAAAGAGGAGCTTGTGGACACAACAGCACCTGGTGTACATCAAAACAAACATTTTATGACATCAGGACCTAAACTTGGGTCAAATGTTAAAAATCTAATGACGTTTTCTCCAGCCGTGGTTTTCTTCCTATTCTGTCTGTCTCGCTTTGACCGATTTCCCCTTAAAAAGCAGCAGGTCACAGGAAAAATGCTTTAGATTTAACTGTGTTGTGTTGGGTGTTTACTCACCGGTGCTATGTATGTTAGGTATTTGTAGGTTGCTTTGTGTGTATGTTTTAATATTGACAATACTGGCAGCTTGGATGGAAAGCAAAGGCCTGTTATTGTTTTGTTTCATGAACTAGTCACACGAATCCTCATAGCTAATGTGAAAGTAAAGGCAATCTAGTGAAGCATGACTTACGTCTGGATCTGTTTGTCAAGGCATAGCTCTGTTTAAGGAAGTATACATGCAACAGTGTGCTACAGCTTATATATTTTTTCTCTTGCTTTCACTCACACTTTCATACTCTATCTCTTTCCTTGCACTCTCACCAGCACGGACAAAACTCACTCATTTTAAAGACTGTAGCTCTTACCGTCCTTTCATTCCTCTCCGAAACCTCTGGTCCCGTCGTGACATACTGCCCTTCCAGTTGACTGATAGACAGCTGTCTGACACAATCCACTCAGTTAAGAAAGGAACTTGCTAGCTGTGTGCACTCATGAGAAGGTCGTACACTCACTTTACTGGCAGCAGGCGTTGCCTTTTATTTTTCTACTCTCTCTCTCCATGCGTTCAAAGGCTTCCTGTGCATGCGACTTCCCTCTCTAACATGCAGAGTAGCTGTGTGAGAAAAAAGTCTGACCCACTGACACCAGCTGGCCAGATTCCCCCTGCTGGCTGCTGGGAAACAGACCTATCCCAGTCAGGACGTTCTGCTCCGCCTTCCCCCTCCTGTTACTTATAGTATGTGGACTTCTGCAAGATATAGTTACACCCCTCTGCAGAGTCCACCAAATTAAGCTGAACGTGAACCTACGTGGGTGTTTATGTGAGTTAGGATAAGTGTGTGTTTTTCTCAGAAGTGGTGTGAGAAAGCTGGTGAGTCTGTTTTGAAATGAGCCCTGTTCTCATCAGCGCAGGCATAATCTCTTTATGTATGCCCCAATTACTGCACTGTCCAGATCCTTCAGTAAGGCACTCTATTCATCACACATAACAAAGAGGGAGGATTCAGTTAAAACGGAAGTATGAAGACCAGCTCAGAATTAGATTAACAAAACCACTGAAACTGTTCAGTAAGTTTAGATCCACAAAATTTTTATTTGACTGACACCAGAGTAATAAAAATATTCTTTTGGCAGGATGTTAGATTTTAAAGCTGAATGATTTGGAGAAAATATTTTTCTGGCAGATAGTGCAATTTGATTTGCAGTGTATATTTTCAAAAGCGGAACTATCACACAAGTAAGACAGCATGAATCAGTAAAACCATTGCAATGACAGTTAAAACCCTGGGTCAATCGTGCTGCAGTATTATTTGCAATTATTTGAAATTGAGTAGTTATATTATTTGAAACTAAGTAGATTTCCAACGGAGTATATGTTATTTTCCTTTCACAGCACATTTTCCACTATTAGTCTAGCAACTCAATTTATAGCTACAGTCTATAAATAATAGTGGTGCACCATATCAGGACATGCATGCTTTTATTGCACAGTGCAGACAAACCTGCACTGGACTCTGAAAGACACAAACAGGTGTGTGTGCAGGGTATTCAGGGGGTGCTTTTATCATCAACATGATAAAGTGAATTAGTCTCAATAGTTAGAACTTGTAATATTTGTGTTTCTTTCACTGTTTCTGTAACATATAGTCTATAGTTTATGGTCTGTCCTTGGATATTTTGTTTGTGGTATATTTATGGTTTTAGGACTTGATAGATTGAGACCTTGTTTGCACCTGTGCTGTATAATATGTGTGTTGCTGTAAATATTGCATAATAGTAAAAATCTGCACAAAATAAAAAATAAAGCTTGTGAAAACTTGAGTGACCATTACAGTGGAAGCCTTCAGATGAAGTGATTTCTTCAATCATTGCTTGGCCTGCAGTGAGCTTTACAGTAATTTCTGCTGGGCTCCATGATATTCAACACCATTCTGGACGCCTGACCTAATGTTCCTTTAACCTGACCCAGGATACCTTTAGATCACCTTTAACTCCAGATGCACAGCACCTTGACCCAGGCTTATTTCTACACTGTGTCTGCTGAGGCTAAATTAATGTGACTGCCTGTATTGGGTTAAACGTTTGCTCTTGATGCAGCTTATCCAGCTCCACTCATCTCTCTCAGCAATTATTAGTTAGTCAGAAAAGTTTGACACTCTTTGGGCAAGTGAGCCTATTAGGTATCTTTGAATTCTATCCTAACCCTGAAAAAGGCCCGAAACCAATGTTTACGTTGTGCTCAGTTTAAGCTACAGTGGCTGGTCCAACTGGCTTGATAGGCTCTATTGTCCAGCTACCATAAGTGCATAATGGGCTCTGTAATCTCACCAGTAGCCACCCATCATTCCTGTATAACGGCTTCCATTAGTTTCACCAATTGCTACTGATTACCAAACCCTCTGACTGAGTGGCTCTTGACCTAAAGAAACATTATTTTAAAATGCCTTTTGTATGAGTGCTACCGTGCAGACGAGTCTACAGAGGCATCATGTGGGCACACGTTCTATTACTGGTGGTTTCATTGAGGCAAGCTCTCGGTATCACACGACCACCTCCTCTTTACTTCCCCCCACACACTTAGCACAAACCCCCATAACAGGTTTTGCTCTTCACTATGACCTGCTAACACTATTTGTTTAGTTTGCATATGAGTCACCATAAAGACAATGCTTGACTGCTGTTTTTACTTTATCACACTGCAAAAGCAGCAGTTCGCCATTTCCTCTTTTCTCTATACACCCTAACTTGTGGTTATTTAAAAGCAACCACAGGCAAACATGTTAAAACTAACATCTTCCTCTCAATGTGCAGCTTCAGTCTCTCACCTTATGCCAACGCTCTGCTCACACTTTCACATTTAATGTTTAACATAGTAAATAAGTCTTGCGTTAAAAACAATAGCCAGAAACAACTGTCGTTGGTCATCTCTTTACTTCAGAGAGCATTGTCAGAAAGTGTACAAAAGTGCATTATTTTCTTCATAGGCCACATAAAAAAATTACAGATGTTAAAAACACATGTTGAGCTGCATGATAAACACAAACATAAGCTCAAATGCAAGATAAGATTCAGTTATACTTTTTTTTCTGTCTTAATGACCTCACAGACTACATTGTGATTCAGCACACATTCAAGGACAATGTAGAAAACAAAGCACTTCTATCATCCTAGTAGTACACACGTTTAAAAACTGTTGAAACACTCACACACAAAATAACTAGCTCAAATATTTAATACTGTATTAATGTACTTGAATTTGTAAAATACGACTAAATAGATTCCTCAGCATAATTTAAAAAGTCTAGTAAACGTGAACAAATTTTCAACAGTGTTAAAGGAGGTACATCAAAAGAAAAAAAAACACAGTAATCAGTACTCCTCAGATGTCATGTATTCTTGTCGTATTACCTCACATTTTGCTTGAATGCTCTCTTCAACAGCAAATGTAAAAGCGAAAACTAAGCCACATCATAATATTATAACAAATACATCCTTCTAACAATGAAAACAAAATGCAGGTTAACCAAAACTTTACCCTAAACCACTTAGTGTGATGTAGCCATGGAACAGTGCCTTTAATGTTGTGAACAGAGTAGAAAAATCTCACCAGTGTTAATAGCTGAAGACTTTGAGCCTCCACGATTGATACAACTGAGGCCTGAGTACAGTTAACATGAACAGAGGCTGCTTTTCAAGGATCAGATAATAACTAGTCAAAACACCAAACCACAGAAAACTCCACTGAGTGCCCCTTCTGTTCATCATTCCCCAGAGCAGCAGCCATCTGTTTCTTTGTCTGTACACTTTGCTGGGCAGATTAGACAAGTGCTTCTATTGATGTAAGAGCTAAAAACAGTGAAATAACACATTTTAAATTCTGCAGACAAAATAAAAACCCAGTCAAACTGGACAAAAGTGTTGCCTTGGAGAAGTTTTTCCTAAACATTGTGTCAGCACGCAGACAGGTCTGAAGGAGCTGCCCTGAGGGAGTCCTTGGTATCAGTCTCAACCCAGAGGATTCATGGTGATACTTGCATTGCAACACAAATGATATTCAACATAGCAACAGAAAACAACAACTGTAATATAGCACAGCTTGGCCTCGCAGATAAAAAGAAATATGGATCCATCATTTAGTGGTTCTCAGCCTGGTAGTCAAGATCCCCAGAGAGTTGCAAAGCGATTCATTGGGGAAAATTAGGATTAGAACAAATGTTAATAGCAAAATAGAAAGAGAGCTTGAAAAGTTTCATTGCCTCCAGTGTGCTAGTTGTTGTGTTGTTGATGGGCTAATTTAAGATCAACTGCATCTTTCTTTAACAGAAGTCAAGAGCAGCAGCAGCAGGGAGTAGTGTTAAAAGTCAACCGTCAAGACAGTTCCTAGCACCCTGTAGTCTGTACTGGGAGTTACAGAAACTGATTGATTTATTCAATTGTTGTAGTTTTATTTGTGACGGGGTATCTGTAATCTGTGTTCTTGGTTCAGCTTCCATTTTACATTAATTTTCTTGTAAAATAGCAGCACAGTCGAAGGTCATATTGTTGAGTCATAATTTAAAACAATCAGCTAATAGATGAGGTGAGAGCCAGATGTTTTCCATCATGCCCTTAGGCCATACACTCACTGGTGCCCCGTTCCAAAAGCTGTGGCCGCCTTGATCTCATGATGTTATCATTGCGTATGTCATCGTGACATCAAATCAAGTTGGGATCAATATGGAAATCTCACCAACTTCCTTTATCTAGCAACCACTGGTGATCATTTCAGTGAAGGTCTGCCTCATCTCAAACAAGGATGTTAACACTCTTAAAGCTTATTTTTTGAAATTCAGACTTGCTCTAATTAGTATTTTTTTTCTTGTGAAATTGTAAATATTTTTGTATCTGACCAAAGTCCAATTGCTGAATAATCCCAAAAAAATAACAACAACATGACAGCGACAAGTCTCACCAATCTGCATATCAGTCTGCAACATCTTGTTTAAAAGGAATCAGGATCCTAACAGGTTGAGAACCATTTCTCTTATTCAATGAGCCTTGTATAACATTTAAGCAAATAAAAATGTAACACATGGAATGTGTTGAAGCTTTAGCTTCTATGGCAGATAAGACATTTACAGTTTGGGATCATGCAATAGCACCACTGTGGTTTTAATGAGGTCACTTCATGTCTGTTGGTTGCTCACTTCCTCCTTCGGCCACAGAACTTACCCTGACAGCCAGCACCTAAAAAAAACAGAGCAGAGAGAAGTATTCTTCACTTGCCATACAACATACTGTGCACATGGTACAATGTAAAACCTCTACTTTTAAAGATGTTCAGCCAGTGCAATAAAAACAAGCTTTTGCACTGCTCAGTCACACTTCAAGTCAGTTTTAGTCAGAGATGCTAAGCTCCCAGTGGCATTACTTCAGTTTTTCATTTGTGGTAAAAAAAGACTACATGGTATTTTTTTACCACATCACTTCTGAAGAAGTCATTTTTCTACCCGAGTTAATTCAGAAAGAAGCATGGTGAATTACTATAGAAGTTGCTGTTTATATTTTGAATAAGTTGCATAGAAATCATTACTGAGGTAAATAATAACTGTTACCATGTAATCACCAGAGGAACAACTGCAATGTATGAAAGATTTTCCATTGTGGAACTTGTAATCTAACTACAAGAAAGAAGAGTTGTAGTGCAAACTAGGAGGTTTGATAATACTGTGTGTGAGAAGTTTTTTTTTTGTAAACTTAATGTCAAGTTGCAACCCTTAAATTCAGAGGAACTCCTATTTATGAGTTCTGAAATGGATTTACAGTGTGTAGATGTGTCTTACTGTACAGCAGCAAAGTGTGTATAATTTTTTACCTCTATAGCCCCCAGATCCAAGTATGGCCTGCAGGGCTGCATATTTGGCTGCCTTCTGTGCCTTGGCTGAAGAACATGAAAGTAAAACAAACTGTGACATTGCAGATAATTCCCCAACACTAAAGATTATAAAAGCATGCAAAATTCTTTGTTTTGTTTTATTTATTTCACTGACAAACCTCTCTTTTGTGCTTAAGAATAGGATGCCTCTAAGTAATTCTCAAAAAAGACGTTGAATAAATGAGTGCTTGCCTTCATCGTCATGCTTTTGTTTGTGTATGTGTGAATGTTGGACTTGTGCGTATTTAGTTATGAAGGCTACTTAAAGCATGCTTATTTCAGTGAACACAGTGAGTTTTCTTACATTTTTGCCCAGCCCCTGCATATCCTAGAGAACAATAACAGGAAAGACAAGTGATAATAAACAATAGGTTCTTTTATCTTTGTTGTTCTCAGCTGTGACATGAATAAATATTTGCCAATGCAAATAGTCGCCATGACACTCAGGATAAAAGCATTTTCTATACTTTGTGTTCCATAACCGTGTGTTAAAGGCACAAACATAGGAACCCAGTTTGGGTGTTTACAAGTTTTATCAACTTTATTCTCAACTTATTGTTTATTGTTTGAAATCACTGCAGGGAGTTTATAGCTGTCTTACCTGGATAGCCTCCACCAGCCACCCCTCCAAAGCCAGGGCCAGCACCCCCTGCTGGAACAATTGACACATTACAGCTTGCACAGCCTCTCTGGTCTGAATCAGCAGGCAGGTGAGCTATTTACTGAGCAGCAGTCTGAATTTTATGAACATGTTTATTTTAAATCTTAAAATATAAAATGCACACGATCATATTCTGAGTTACTGCTGCGTTTTTTGTCATGCAACCTGACCTGGTAAGCCACCTGGCACTCCTCCAACTCCTGGGCCTGTTCCTCCAGGACCTCCTGCCCCTCCTGTTCCTCCTGCTACACCACCTAAACAGGTAAGTGCGTATAAATGAGAAATTACTTAAAAATGTAAAAGATAACTTTATGCAAAAGCAACACTAGATTGTTCAGGGGAAATTGAGGTGACACTCAGTCCTCTATAATTTGATGCACTTAAGGCAAGTCATCTAAATGATGTGGTGCTAGTGGAGTTGTTGTCAGTTGAAAAATCCATCACTGTAATTTGAACTGCTCTTATAATTAAATTATAAGTTGAATTTATTTGTTTTTCTTTAGCTATTACTTTCCCTTATGAACTAGAAACTCACCTGGACCGCCTCCAATGATACCTCCTGTTCCAGTACCAGGAAGGACTCCTGCTACACCACCCGATGTACCTGGATATGTTGAGGTATATTAGTTTACATAAGCAAAAAGCAACACAATATATATATATGTGTGTGTGTGTGTGTGTGTGTGTGTGTGTGTGTGTGAGTGAACAAATGTATTGTCCTCTAGAATTGAATATGGACTTTATGTTTTTAGATAAAAGATTAACAAAAAATGTATTAGGAGAGATGAGATTTTTTTTATAAATTGTCAGAATGGAATTAAATTTTATATCTTTATCAATAAAACTAGAAATGATACAGACATTTTATATTATACTGTGTGATTAAAATCAATAATAATTTGTAAGTCAAATTACAACAAACCTAAAGCCATGTCACTATGATAAAACTGCACTATGAACCAGTCTCCTTATTTTATTTGTTGCCCTTAATAACTAGTCCAAGCTGTTGACCTTTGTAAAAAACATAGATTAAATTCAGGGAATAAAAGGAGACCTGTCAGTATAATAATGCAGTCTTTGCCTTTCAGCATCATCAAGGCTTTCATTCTACTTTGTAGACTTATGACAATAAAGAACACATACAGCATGAGAAAATGCTTTGCATAAGCTCCAGTTTATTGCTAACCAGACCTAATGACTCATTTCCTGTTACTTTGAAGTGCAGCATACTCTCTTGTGTGATATGGTGAAATATGGATCAAGTCAGCAACTAACTACAATGTGCGCTGTTGCTATAGTCACATAACAGGGCTCCAGACTGACTGTGACCAGAATGGTCGCAAATGCAACCTTTTTCTGAGAGTGTGTGAGTTAAAATTAAGTTAAAAAGTTAAAAAGTGTCACGTTTGTGTGAGTGCATGATAATCATGAAGCTGTTCTGTCACCAACACAGGCAGTTACTGTGTTAGTCATAGTGGTATAACTTCTAAGCAGGTCCTGCCTGATGCGTAAAACAAGCTATTGAGCTCGTGTGCGTTTCTCAACCAACAGAGAGTTACAGGTCCAACTGAGACACACCTGATGATCAGAATGCAGGTGCATTCAGGAACTTACTGAGCTAGTGAGCCAATTACAATGGCTAACGCAGTAGTAGGACTGTAAAATTTAGTAGTTTTGAATCACAATCATGATTTTAGCTTCTACCCACTATATGAAAACGAACGACAGTGGTCTTTACATTTCAAAATGTGCTTCGCTCATAAAAGGTGTAGCGTACTTACAGATGCACTGTTTTCTCTGCTCATAGAAAATCACTCTGCTTCATCTTGGACAAATCTGACATTAGAACACTTCTTTTCCTCTCTTTTCAAACTAAGTTTTGCTCACACACCTGTCTGAACACACTTTAGCCAACAAGCACCTTCTACCTCAACCTGCAATGTAAGGCGTTCAGGGAACATTGGCAAATGTGGTGTCTATCAATAAGCAAATGTTCAGCTAGTGAGGTGTTTCACCTGTAACCAGGTGGATGTGCGACTAACTGACAATGTTGTTTGCATCAGTGCGACAGGTGGAAAAGTTAGTCTGGAGCCCTGCTTGATTAGATTTTTTTTTTAAGTATCTACCTGCTGTAACTCACAGTAATTTGGCAATCTGTTACATTAGCAGTTGTACCTTGAATGTGGTAAGGTAAGGTAAGTATCCAACAACATGTTTCAATATTTATCAAAACCTTTCATTTATATACATTGCAGAATTTTACCTGCTCCATAGCCAGTGCCACCCAATGATGAGCCATAACCTGATTTAGGAGGCTTTCTTCTTTGGCCACCAGGTCCATATCCACCAGCCCCACCAGGTCCAAAACCCCCTGGCACAGTTCCAGCACCTCCTGGACCGAAGCCACCAGTTCCAGCTCCTCCTGGACCGAAGCCACCGGTTCCAGCACTTCCTGGACCAAAGCCACCGGTTCCAGCTCCTCCTGGACCGAAGCCACCAGTTCCAGCTCCTCCTGGTCCGAAGCCACCAGTTCCAGCACCTCCTGGACCGAAGCCACCAGTTCCAGC